ATAGGAGTAGTTGTCCCCAAGCTGACTTTTTTTCTTTTTTCTTTTTTAAGTTGATGCAAGTTGGCTTCATTGTGAGCTCGATCGAAAAGCTGTAAAAAAGTAGGACACTGTACATCGTAACGAGGAGCCAAACCTCAAAAACAGAGCAGGACGGTTCTCTCAGATGCACACTGGGAAAATCAGCTGTATTCCCTCACTTCCTGAGCACTTGGATACACAAGTTTTCTCTGAAGGATGTGTGAGAGAGCATCTGTTACTCGGCCTAATCATATTCATAGCTTTTCTGAGTCAAGTATTTTCTGGTTGGAGATTAGACTGGCATTGTGACCCGCGGTTTGCCGGCATGATAATATCGTGCCGTTCTCCCTGGCCTCAGCCGCAGTAAACATCGTTCTGACAGGTTAACGAAGAGCGTTCTCGCTTCACCTGCTCAGCAGTAGCCTTTGCATCCGTTCATCCATCAATCCATCCGTTCACCCGCGGCCCAGCTGCTTCTGAGTCAGGGTCACTGCTCTTCATCCACCGGACATGCTCAGCACCCAGGACCTCTGATGGTCTTTCTTGTACCCAGTCTGAGGTGCTTAATTCGAAAGCTTGGATTTTGTTTCTCCAGGTTGTTGTAAACATTTTAGACAGCAGCTAAATCAGGATTTAATAAATGTGTTGTTGTTATTGGCAAAGAATCCAAACCCTGCTTTCCTGCCATCGTACTTTCTCTATGTAAAACCCCCATAAACACATGAATCTATTTCTGCAGCTCGGTTTCCTTTGTGGTTTTCAGATGCTGGATGCCTCTGTGATGTCCCACAATAAATGTTAATGGGATTTTGTTAACAGGATTCGGTGCATGTTAACAATTACACTGAGCAAAATGGCAAAATTCGTCATGTTCTTCTTCCTCCTTTTTATGTGGTGTGATCTGACATTGTTTTGTTGGAAATAATGCTGATGTTTTTTGTTTGCGGTGCTGCACACACCACAAGCAAAATACCATTGATCTCCTCTGTGTCGACACAGAAATCTCAGACTCTCAGAATCAAAACCAAATCTGCTTCACAACAGTCAAATGAACAATTTAGCTCGTATGATCCTAACCTTTTGCACATTTGAACTAAACTAATATCAGTTTTTAGAATCAGTGTTTTCACCCCTCTGTATACAATTCAGCTTTTTTCCTACTTGAGTAGGAAAATATTAGTAAAGGTATTACATGCAGGTTAAAGATGATCGTTTGAATTGAGTGTGTTGGAGCAGGGAACCCCTGAAAAACCTAAAATGAGCATTCGAGTGATCAGAGTTTAGAAGCACTGCTAGTGTTATGTGGTCTAACTGTACTTTTCTGAGGCAGCAAACCAAACATGCTACTAAATAATTGAAACCACCAAGTAGATGTATTCAAACAATATAGTTATTTAGGGGCACATGAGAATAGTGTCAGCATTTGCGGGGACTGGCTCATGCAGATTTGGTTCCTAAAAGGATAGCTCCACCCCCAGGTCGAAGGTCAGGCCCTCTTCTGCTCCTCGTCCTATTGAACAGTGATGACGCAGGACGTGTTGTTAAGTAGAAAAATGCATACATGAAATTTTTAAGGTACAGTGGTGCCACACGGGGCCAATAGTTTTATTTGTGTTCTCTGACATTAGTTTTCACTCCGTGTATATGCCTTGTGCAGATATGTACAGCATGTCGGTGCTGCGTTCACCACTGCTGTCAGAGTGTGTGCCTGTGCGAGGTGATAAATGAGCTACTACTTATTGTTTACTGCTTCAATCTCCTCAGCCAATCAGTCTGTGTGCTGAGGCTGGTCGCTGTGTGGCCATCAAGGTCAAACTAATCCTGGTTTATTTAAGAGATAGGCCTCAGTCTAGTTAATATTCGCTCACACGCTGCCTCAGTCATTTTACTGATCGTGTGTGTGTGAGTGTTTCAGGGGAGATGGGGTTAAGGTCATCCAGGGCGATTCAATCGTTACCCTTTTATTAAACACACTGTTAATATTCTCTCAGAAAAACCTTGGAGCCCAGGCGAGAGATTATTATTGAATGTAAGCTCCCTGTCCACCCCTGTACAACACACACGCACACAGTCGACACACAAACAAGTGCTCAGACACAGAAAACCGACAGCATACGGGTGTAGCTGATAGCAGAGCTATTACATTTGATAACAACATTTTTTCTACTTTGTATCAAAACCAATACAGCGCGCTCTGATAATATCTGTCTGCTGCAAACTCTGCTTGAAATTAAAGCGGAAAAACTGAAAACAACGACACAGTCTCTGAAGTCATTTTGAAAAAAGGGGCGGGGGGAAAAAAGAGATAAGATCTGCCCACTCTCTCATCTGTCCCATTCTATCCATGTTTTTCCTTGTAATCGGTCCTTTCCCCACCCTTCATACTAATGCGTTGTGTTGTATTTTTTCCACAGACCTGAAGACTACAAGATGAAATGAAGGCTGCCCAATGAGACCGAGAAATGGAGGGGGGAAAAAAAGGTCTTATATCAACACAACAGTGAAAGCAGCACCATCCTCTGCTATTGATTTGTGTAAATTTAGCCCGCAGTTTATGCCTGCAGAACTGGCATCAAAGCTCGACAGCACTTAACATAACATAGATGCCAAGAACATCAACATTATCCTACCAGGGGAACCTCTCTGTCGCTCCTGTCGGCTCCAGCGCGACCGCGGTGGGCCTGAATTATCCAATGACAGCTTGAGATTTGACCATGTGGCTCAGCTGTGAGAAAAATCAGATTCTGTGGGTTTTTCCTCTGATTACACACCATGAAATGATCCGATCTGGTCCATTAAAAGTGACATCTGTTAGAGCTGATCCTGCCTTTAAAGGCTCGTGGATGCACAGTGAAACCAGTTAATGTGTAACTATATGAGAATCCCAAAATGTTAACTTGATCACGGCTGCTTTTTTTTTTTTGGTTATTAAGTTTCCATCGATAAATCTGTTCCCCTTTTAAGTGGATTGTAAAAAGGCTAATAAACAGTTTAACGAACCTCTTCTTGTCGAATGTTGTTTTTACAAAAGTGTTGTAAACTCTGGGTTTTTGACCCTTTTGCACTGTTAAACAAATGACCTAAGCCAATTCTTGTAGTCTCATTACAGATTTATTGGTTATAAAAGCAAACAAAATAGAAAATAAATAAGTCCATATTGTACCAAAGGGTGCGGTAGCGAGACACATTCCTTATTAAAGCTATTCACGGTTGACAGTTAAAATCCAGACCGGGACCAGCTCGTAGCAACACGTCTGCTGCTTGTTTTTCTGACTGCAGTGCAAGAGGGGTTCTTATTGATTTCACAGAGAGGCGAGAGGATTTTCTTCTTCTTCTTTTTTTTTTTTTTTTTTTTTTTGTAATAACAACTGACTTCAGGTCTTATTCCAGAAAGAGGTCAGAGTTCAGCCAGTGAGCAAACAGCTTCCACAGTGAGCAGGCCCAAATTTGCATAAGAAATAAAAAGGAACATAATGAACATAACAATGTTCTTTAAATTCACAAAAGCCCCCCGAAATAAAATAAAATCCAGAACAGTAACGAGCGCCAATGTTCAAATTAAAAAGAAATTATCTTTTTTTTAAGTGTGCTTCTAAGTGTTCAGGGAAAGGAGTTTGATTGGTCTGGGATTCATGTCCACTAAGAACACCACTTTTCAACAGTTGGTACAAAAACAAAGACAACCAGAGGAAACATGATTCATCATTATAAAAAAGCAGCCTGCGCAAATGTTACCAGCTGAACTAAAACAACCCAGTTAGTTACAACCAAAACAAGAGGCGCGGGTTCCACTTCCATGCAGCTCCACACAAAAGTTGCTAAATCGGCTGTGAGATGGGAAGGAACAAGTCTTACCTTGACATTATCAAATGGGCGTGGCTAAACATAGATCAGGCACTTTTCGGACCTCCCTTTTACAGAGATATGGTACAAGAGTCCACAGAGCTATTTACAATGTTTCACCTGATGGGGGTGGGGCTGGGGGATCCCACCGGGGACACGGGAGGGAAGGGACGGAAGTTCTCACCACAGTTTCAGGTGTTTTATATGCATGTCTCAGCTCTTTGCGTTTTGTGGGAACATCTGTGTTGTGTCCTTATCTTGAGGACTTTAATTCGTCTTTCATCTAAAGTCCTCCATCCTCGCTCTCCTCCATTACGTCGGCATCCCGCAAAAACCTCCCGGCGACGCCCGGTGACCTCAGCTCCACGTCTTCGGAGTAGGTGGGGCTGAAGTGGTAACCGTAGTTGATGTGTGCCAGCTGAGAAGGCTGTTGAGGGTAGTACTGAGGGGGATAACCACGATAATAGGGGTCCTGCTCCTCCTCCTCCTCACCCCCTCCTCGGTTGTCGTAAGCCTCTGCAGCAGGGTGGTGTGGCTGATTGTAGGGAGGACTGTAGGGCTGGTAGGCGCCATGAGGCAAAGCTTGAACTGGGGTGGTGGGAATATTTAGGATCAGTCGGAGTGGTTCTGCATCAGCACAGCGAACACAAAGCCAGTACTACAGGAGAGCGTGGCGCGAGGTTAAGGCCAACACAAGAGTACGGTATAAAAGAAGCACAGTGGGAAAGTGAGGCATGCACAGATTCAGAAATAGCTTCACAGCAGGTTAAAATCATTTCAACCAGTCAACAATTCTTACTTCTTTGATGGTGAAATGACTTCTCTGCAGAAGCAGATTCAGGACCCGGGACAGAGTCCAAAAGATTGGGTTAATAAGGAAGTAGTTTAATGGAACTGAAGACAGATCTAATCTCTGCCCCAGTATCGCCCAGATGTGATTATTTTTCCAGGAATGAAAATGATCACATTATATCAGGCGTAAAAACTGAGATTTTCTGTCCATCTTGCAGAAACTGAGATGCACTAATAGCTGGGATGTTCAGTAATGAAAGCAGCCAGTCAGCATCAAAGCAATCCATCACTGTTTAGCTGATTTGTCTGGCTTTTGAAAGATGAGATTAGCTTTTATGAGATCTGAGTTTAAAGCAGGGTGAAGCAAAGGCTGCGGCAGCAAAGCTTTGCATACACGAGTATCTGTCGACAGGTGGTCCCGTTGACGACGAGCGGTGGCTGTTTTTTGTGGAAAAGTGAGTCAAATTGCTCGTATTTTTCCTTCGACACGGGAAAATAACTCGTTTAATGAAGCAGTTCTTATCAAAATACTTTACTCACGGGTGCATGAAGTCTGAAAATCTGGTGTGTTTGTGTACAAACCTGCACCGAACGACGGCGTAACGATTTCTAAAATGAGAAAACCACCTTGCTTTTAAACTGATGTGCCTTTAAAAAAACCCTAAAGAAAAAAAAATCTTAGAAATAGCTAAAAAAACAAAACAAAACAAAAGGTCTCCAGAGAAGAAAAATGTGATAATCGCTGCTGCAGGGACTACAGCTTCAAAAGTGTCAGGACTTATCCATCCCAGGAAATATGGCAGCCTTTAGGGAATAACAGGAGTTTCTTCAGTATTTAGTCTTTTCTTTTTAAAAGAGGACGCAGGAGGAGGTGAGCACAGGTGGAGGAGAGGAGCATGGTTCAAGAATGCTCCTCAGTAGTCATTCCTATAATCCTGTTGAACTTCAGAACGAGAGATGCAGGGAGGAGAGAAGAGGGAGGAGAGAGAAGGAAAAAAAGAACCAGAGAGAAGATGTTACTTCATATCAGAAAGAAAACCCAGTGAACCAAAAGAGTTAAACCTCATAAACGACACCGACTGTGCTTCCTCAGCCGCTTCGATGTGGCTTTTGAGGTGGAAAAAAAATATCAGTGTTGTAATCTATGTTTCTTCTTAGGAGAAACAAAAAGCACAAACTGAGAAATTAGTTCAAATAAACACTGTGACATTTTTATAAAGTGTTTGGAGAATGTTTAGAAAATGTGTCAGATCTTTATTTTACCTTTCTGGATGTTAGAAAGTGCAAATAAAGATTTCTAACACGGAAAACAGATGACAAGGAAAACACGCCTTATGAGTCACCCTGACTGAGATCTTCGGCAGACATCTGTTGCAGTTAAATACAACACATACAAAAAATAGCTCTAAAAGAATGAGACCCATGAAGCTTGTGCCAGTTTTTCTGATGCATCACCATTTATATCTATATAAAACATATTTTTCTTACAAGATCAATATAAACAAACAGTTTAAACTGATCTTGAGCATAACATATAGTGTGAAACACTTCGCATTGCTCTGTCTAAAAGTAACAACATCCTGTCTTTCACCATCTCAAAATGCCCATAAACCAATGTGCATTTTCTAAAGGCTATGCACCAGATTATTTTGGCAAACAGCACCCCAGTGAAGTGTGTATGTTTTAAGACAGCTGGACTGCCTTTTGTACCATCTTAATGTTTAGCTAAGCAGCTTTTGGTTTAGTTGTAGGCAAAAAAGTATTGGGCCACACCTCTTAATGACTTGCCAAAGGTGTAGGAAATCAAGCACCTAACCATGCAATCTTCCTTTACAAACATTCGTGAAAGCTTGGGTCGTTCTGAAGAGCTCACTGGATTTGAGCGTGGAACTGTGCTGCAGTAAGTTTCTTCCCATCAGCTTCAAGTGCGATTATTGCAAATTGCAAGGGTTTATCAATCATAGCAACTCAGCCACATAGTTACAGATCACGTAAAGTCACACAGTGAGGTCATCAAATGCCAGTGTGTAAAAGTCTCAGACGCTCTGCTGACTCAATAACTTTGGAGACTTTGAAAAACCTCCCTTTGAATTAACATCAGCACAGAAAGTGTGCACTGTGAGTTTACATGGCCGAGCAGCTCCTGTAGGCGTAACGTGAAGGTGGCCCGGTACTTTTATCCAAATAGTGTATTTTACAAGATTTTAACAACTTAGGAATGTGGGAAAAGGACTTTAATCACTCTTGTTTGATATAAGATCAATTAGGCCAAACTAAAGTTAATAATTTACATATATCTTTTGATGTAAAATTTTATACTTTTTCCATATATTTAGATTGGTAATGGCTGACATTTGATGGTTAAAAACCTCATATATCATCTTGAAGCCGTGACACTGATCCTTGTGTAATGCACTAACTGAGCCATGATATGTTAACTACACTATTCAGGTTGACAAATACAAATGTAGGAATAAATTCTACTTGTCACAAAGACACAGTTTGAGGCCGCATTTTATTTGCTTTAAAATAAAATAAAAAAAACACTTATTTTAAGTGGTCAGGGAGGCTGTGTTTAATCTGTGCACATTTGGGACTAGCGCTGAGGATTCTCGCAAGTCATAAAGTACAAAAAGACACCATTCAGACTGGAATCCATCACTATAAAATAAATCTGGTTTGATGGATGAAGTAATGTCTCATCTATCAGCTACTTTTAGACGATGATACATCATCAGGGCAACTTGTCAGAGTCTGTTAGACGTGTAACGTCCAAGCTGAGATGGCCCAAGACCCTATAAAGCCCTGCAATGGTCTCATCGGTATGAATATTCAATGTCGTCAAAGACGTGTGTGCAACTGCATATTTTATTAAATCTAAATACAGATGAATAGCTTTGGCCTTCTAACGTCTTAATCCATCGGTGTGGACATGAATGTATAAACTTCACAGTGGAACAGCCATAAAAGTCGGGTAGCTCTCAAATTCTCCGAACACTTTTACAAGAACAATAACTGTGCCAGGAACAGCTGTCACTGTGAAAACAATATTTGAGTGTTTTACACATATAAAAGATGCTTTATAAGGGCGTATAAAGACCAAACAGGCCTGGTTTTGTTTAAGCTGCTTAGAGCAGCAAGTTAGCGAACATAAAAATAAACCAAATTGCTCAGAATAAAAGTAATATCGCTCGAATACAGAAGGACAAATCAGGGCAAGTCTGGATAAACAGCAGTGAAGAATGTTTTGGTAAGGTCTGGATATTTCATGTTTTGACTCTGGTCACAAAAATATTCCAGTCAAGATGTTATTTCGATTCCTGGTGGCAGCTCCTCACCTACTATGCACACTTTTTATGAATGTGCTTTTGTATTCATTTGTCTGCAGCACACGTTCTGCTCTGTTATGAAGCTATTAAAAACACATAACTAAACCTAAAGAGAAATCAGTTGATCCTTTTGTGTGGATAAGACAACATTGTAGTTGGATTCTTGCTGATAATTTGAACCTAAAATCGAATGTGGAATTTTAGCTTTTCCATACTGGAGGAAAATTAGGGCAACTGCACCGATGCTTTTGTTTCCTGCACCTCTCTTTCTTTTTCATTGCCTTGATTTGATAAAGAGTTATTACAGAAAAGCAAAGCACACACAAATATGTGGATCACCTCGTTCTCTGTTTTTGTAATGCAGCTTTGTTCCAACCAGTCATTAAATATCAGAGTGGCATCTCAATGATGGGGACTGAATTTGCTGCTTTAAAGCAGCTGACAGGTTACGACAGCTAATGATTACACTGAAAACAGGAATACTGAATGTAAATTGAGGTTCATCAAAGTGACATTTTTCATTTGTGCAATAACAATTATTTTGGGAATTATGAATTACTTTTTTACACCTCTTTAAAATAGCATTAAAAACAAGTACAGCATAGTAACACTCCCTGTAGAAACCTGTAAGTACTACTACTTCCACGTGGGAACCAGTATTGCCAATGTAACTGCAATCGTGAGTCATAATTTTAAGTTATACTTTGTTAATTGCATTCAAAGAAAATCAGTCTAACTGACAATTACTAAATATATCAGTTAAGCATTTTTGTATTTACGATTTTCACCAGAATTTAGCTGAAAAACAAATCATGAGTAACAAGATGTTGGATATTGGGATTACTTCCGCTCCTTTTGAAGTCTGCAGGAAAACGTCTTTCTGACATGACTTCTTTCCTGATGATTTTATAGGTTCAGTCAATCATCTTTGCTGATGTTGAATAAAATGTGAAGTCTGCTTTGTAAATCTTGGTCATACTATGATTCAATATTGAGGATTATCTGTCAATCACACATCAGTAGCCAGTGAGTGTGCGGTCAGATCCATCCCTCCTCATCACGTCTGCTTTTTTGTAACTAAGAAATAAATGTGTGACATCACGGTAGCAACATGCATCTTTCATTCTGTTTATAACTGTGATACAACTGCAGTCTCATGTTACCTTAGTAAGAACTCAACTACTTATGTTTTGTGTGTCTGAAAAAACCAAAACATTTGGCCGATATATTGGCTTTTTAAATTGACAAATATTGGTATCAGTCCTAAAAATCCAATATCGGTCAGGCTTTATGTACCTCTGCCAAATCCTACACCCTTTATTTAAAATGGTACCAATGCATGAAGTTGAATGATATTTACCTCCCACGTTGTATCCCAAACAGGAGTTTGCATCACAGTATCCAGGCTGACCAGCTGGTCCTGTGGTCCCTGGATTCCCGGGCCTCCCCGGTGTCCCTGGGTTACCAGGTCGACCAGGTGGGCCCTGGCTACCTGTCCGTCCTTCACCTGGCAAACCTTAAGATTAAGGAAAGTTTTCTGGTTAAAAAAACAACAAAAACTCCCAAAATCCAAGTGTTTGTTTGACATTCAGTAAAACGATTCTCAGCAGATGATGCTGGGTGTGAAGGAATACAGGGAAAACCACACAATTAACAATGGCAGCCTGTGTACAACCTGTCACCGTACCATCACCTCTTCAATGGCTTTTAAATCCTGTCTCCTCTATTAGCTGGAAAAACATGATCTGAAGGCAGCAAGTGTTTGTTTGTCACTTGTGGATAAGAAAGGTGATGGTGAATGTCATGAGGGCAGGAGCAGGAATAACACAGTTCTTTGCTCACGCTGAGCCAGAGGCATCTGTTTTCTGTTTTCACAGGAGAAACTGCCCCACCAGGACTCACTTCAGCAGTCAGCAGAAATATGAAATCAATATTTGGATGGGAGTTTCTTTTGCCAGGGGCTAAAATTATCATCCCACAAATATTTCAGAAAAGTACAATGGATGAGGACTGAGCCCTCCCATCCCCACACCTCCCCTCAGCACCCTCATCTTAGAAGAGACTTCCTTTTTCAAAATCTGAAGTTTGGGCTTCCTTTTTTTTTAGTTATCTGATCACAGCAAAGTTTTGTCAGCTTGTTCTAGAAGTATTGATCGCAGTAAACAGAAAATCCCAGCACTGACATATTTTCATAACACGAGCCTCAAATTCCACAAAGCGTACCGGGAAATCAATACAGAGAATTATATTCATGGTCCAAAATGCCTGCTTGCTTTCCTCAGACAGCGATTCAACAGAGAGTAAAGTAAATCCAAAGCAGATTAAGTCTCTGTGCCATTTAATTCCATTGTTTCAATATTTGAAGCCGCTGTGGTTTATTCAGTGGAAACACAGTGAATATCTCCCATTCGGTAGCTCCAGCTGAAAACACCAATAAGAAATGTTCAGGAGCAGAAAGATGCCAAATGATCAGATTTCGAAGCAGCTACAGCGCCTTGATGTGTAGCTTGGAGAACGCTGGAGAGAGAGTGTTGAGTATTCCCGGGCTCGTCTCTTACCAGGAGGTCCGGGTGGTCCTCGAGGCCCCTGAGTCCCAACCCCTGGAGTCCCCCTTTCTCCCTTCTCTCCTGGCAGACCTGGAAACCAACAAAGAGATGCACATTTAAACATAAATTCACATCTTACATCTGTCCTCTTGGGTGTCTGCACAGATTAAGGCTTTATAAGCTTTATATGCAGGAGGGAAGGCACAGGTGGAGTAAATGGTGAACCTGATGGTGAACCAACATGTTTCTCAAAGGGCAGGGAAACATCATAATACTTTTTTACCGGTTTGCTGTAACATATTACAATTACAATTATATAATGGACAGGGACATAATGTTTGGACTCTCAGCTTTTATTTGAGGGTATCCACGTTCAAATTGGATGAAGGGTTTAGGAATTTCAGCTCCTTAACAAGTTCCAACCTCTTTGTAAAGGGACTAAAAGTAATTGACTCAAAGTCTCTTTCATGGGCAGGTGTGGGCAATTCCTTTGTTATGTCATCAGTTAGGCAGATGAAAGGCCTGGAGTTGATTGGAGGTGTGGTGCTTGCATTTGGAAGATTTTGCTGTGAACAGACAACATGCAGTCACAGGAGCTCTCCATGCAGGTAAAAAATGAGCTGCGAAAATAGAAAAAAAAACATCAGAGAAATTGCCACAATAGTACGAATGGCAAAATTTACAGTTTGGTACATCCCGAGAAGGAAAGAAAGTTCTGGTGAACTGAGCAAGCAAAGAGACCTAGACGTCCATGGAAGACAAGAGTGGTGGATGTTCGCAGAATCTTTTTCATGTTTAAGAGAAACCCCTTCACAACAGCCAACCAAGCGAACAACACTCTACAGGAGGTAGGAGTATCAATATCCAAGTCTACCATAAAGAGAAGACTGCATGAAAGTAAATACAAAGGGTTCACTGCAAGGTGTAAGTCACTCATAAATCTCAGCAAAAAAAAAAGGGTAGATTGGACTTAAAAAAAAAAAAAGCTGGCAGAGTTGTGGAAAAATATTGTTGTACAGATGAAACCAAGATCAGCCTCCACCAGAATGATGGAAAGAAAAAAGTATGTTGAAGGTGTGGAACAGCTCATGATCCAAAGCATACCACATCATCTGTACAACATGGCAGAGGCAGTGTGATGGCTTGAACGTGCACGGCTGCCAGTGGTACTTGGAAACCCGTGTTTACTGATAATGTGGCACAGGTGTTCAGATACATACTGTCTTAAGCCAGTTGAGTATGCATTTCACTTGCTGAAGACTAAACTTCAGACAGAAAGGCCCACAAACAAACAGCAACTGAAAGCCACTGTAGTAAAGGCCTGGCAGAGCATCGAGGAGGAAACCCGGCATCTGGTGATGTCCATGAGTTCAAGACTTCAGGCTGTTATTGCCAGCAAAGGGTTTTCACCCAAGTATTAGAAACAAACATTTTATTTACAGTTATTTAATTTGTCCAATTACTTCTGAGCCGCTGAAACGAAGGGATTGTGTTTAAAAAATGATTTAGCTCATCTCATTTTTATGCAATCTTTTTGTTCAGCCTGCTGAATCAAAGCTGAACATCTGAAAGACTTCAACTGCATCTGAGTTATTTAATTTATTATCAATATTATTATTTATTTGTCTGTTATATTTAAGATCCATATTTTTTATTTATTCCTGATTAAAAATGCCAAATAAAAACATTTTTATGAGTTTTTAATGCACTTTATCTGCATTTTAATTGTCTTCATGCCTTTTGGCAAATGAACCAGATTATTGATGTTCAAACAGGTTCATTTGTTTTTGAAGTCTAATGATGGCCAATCTCTTTGAGCCTTACTTACAATATCAAATACAAATTCAACAGTGAATTAATGTCATATATGTCTGCTCAATTTTTCATGAAATAACAAAGGAACGGGCCTCTCCAGGCCATGAATCCGCTCCTTACTCAGCTGTCCAATTACTTTAGATTGTCTAAAAATGAGGTACAGTGTATAAAAAAACATTCCAAATAATAATTCCCATCTTGGTTGTTTGGCTTAGAATCCACCACGGTGGAGCCAAAAATACAAAAATGCAAATTATTAGCCTAACTGTAGTTTCAAGCATTCATTTGTTGTAGTCGTCCTCCCAAAATGTCCCAAACCTAAAGGTGTCTACAGACTGTAACATGAGTTCATTGCACCTTCACAAGTGTTAAGTTTGAACACTATTACCAAACAATGTATAATATGGCACAACCTCTTACTTTTGTTTGTTTGTTCGGATGAGTAGGTCTTACATTTACGGTCTCTATCAGTAGTTAAGCTTCTGAGTATAATTGTCCAATACTTGCTCTCCCAACGTTGTATTATATGAATATTTTCATAGAAAATTTGCTAAATGAATTATGCCTCTGTGATCAGCCCAATAAAATGTATGATAAACCCAACGTCTGCTCTGCGCAGCTGTTCGAATGACCTAATGGAATATTTTTTGTACACTCTAATATTAAAGAACCACATAAAACTAATGTGCAGATTTTCTGCCGTGCTGCTTTTACGACCGCCTTAATCAATCGCATCAATAAAAAGGAAGTAAGCACCACGAGGCTGGAAAACATTTGACATTACCTCAAATAAAAATGCGTTTTCTACTACGGTGGCTTCATTATGACTGTAACTTGATGATTGCAACTCCATTGTCTCACTGTCTGTCAATTTTACTGAAAATATTCTAATGTTGAGCCTGATTCTGGTAGCCCTGCGCTCACCATCTGTTCATATGAAAGCCATACATCTTAGAATGGATGCTTACTCTGGTTTCAGTTCTATAAAACAGTAAATTAGTGTGTTTGTAGTAGACCAGTGGCTACAGATCATAAATGTCATTAGGGAGACTCAAAGACCTGAACCTTGACACTCCCTGACACAAGTTCAAGCGCTCTGAGCTTTCCAAAGCCTTCTCCGTGTGAGTGTGTGGGTGTGTGTGTGTGTGTGTGCACAGGCTCATTCAGCATGTGGTTCTTCAGTGTGGGTTGCGTGTTTTCGTGATGAGAATGGAGCCTCATAAAGGCTGTTTCTCCTCTGAGGGCTCGTGGCAGGGGAATGACCTCATGGATATTAGAGTTACTGTCTTCTGGCCTGGACTGAACCTCACAGGAGCGCTGATGCTGACTGTGAGTTTGTCTGGAACCTACACAGACCACAAAATACAGCAAACAAGCAGGCGGGTTTGAGAATTTCTTGCTTTTTTCCCCTCCCCGAATCCTTTCTTTTTCTCACTGATAATTAGTGACATGGAAAAACATGGAAGCTCAATGTGTTGAGCTTTTGGGGGTTTAAAGCAACTTTTCAAAATTCAGCATTTGTAATGTATAATTCACAGAGATGACGGGTTTCTGTCTGGACACTGACAATGTACAGCTGAAATAATGAGCACAGCAGAACCAGGCAGGTTCATCTGATGGTACTCATAGTCAGAAAATTGGTACTTATTTTACCCAGAGTGCAACTCACACTAGGGGCTCTACTTTTCTCACTGCAGTTTTTATTTCATGTGTATCTCGCAGCTAATATTCCTATTATCTGTCTTAAAGACGTTAAATTACTTCAAAGGCTTGTGACTGTATTTTTCTTTATGTCTTGCTAAATATTACACACAAACACATGCCTAATAAATACTCAAGTTTCTGTCTTTTTGATGCTGTTAAATGTGGGATGTTGACTCCTCAGCCATAGCAGTGATAAGGGGAAAAAAAATTACCGATGTGTGCCTGTTGACATGAGCTGTCTAATGTCAACAAACTCGGATTTTAACCATGAGCACAGCTTTATGTCTCACCCCTCTCGCCTGGTTGCCCGTTCTGGCCGTTAGTACCGGGAAAGCCTGGCCTCCCGGCTGGACCTTGCTCTCCCTGAGGACCAGGGGTGCCTCTCCTACCCGGCTCTCCCGGTGGTCCAGGCACTGTTCGGACTGACACCGCTGGCTGCATGGGGATCTGGTTCAGGAAGGAGTTGTAACGTGACAAGTGGCCTGAAATAGATGGTGGAGATTGAATGATTTGAAAACACCCAGATTTAACTTTTGACATTCATGTATGTTTTGTTATTTAAAAAAAAAAATCAGAAGTAATGAAGCATGCTCGTGTTAATCTGTAAAAAATCGAGATTACTCACTCTGGATGAGCTGTTCACACACTTGACGTGCAATAGCTCGCACAGCCGCCTGGGACTGCACATCACCCTGGAAGAACAAACACAGAGCTCGTAGGATCTGACTTTACACAACCACACAGACATAAGCTGCCAGACCAGACGTTGATAAAGTGGTGGGCGGGTGTTTTTTTATGGGTGTTTAATGAGTGTACTCCACCTTTACTCCACACTGACACAAAACAGAAAGCCAGAACCATAGCAAGTACGTGAAAACAGGACGATTAAATATAAATCAAGATTTAATTACACTAATTATTTGGGCTAACTTTGTTGAGTGTGCTTCTATAGTATTTTAAAAATTAATCTCTTTTTTTTTAAGCAGTTAACTTGTCATGAGGAGTACGACACAGGAGGTGTGAAAAACAACCCAGACTACATCTCAAAAAAGATGAAATTACAAAGCCAATAACAAAACGTTTGGGACGTTGTATTGCATGTAAAATGATTTGTGGCTCTCATAACCCATATATTATTCCCAATAAAACTAGAAAAAATATCAAATGTTAAAAAGTATTCACTATTTTAGGAAAAATATTAGCAATTTGATAGCAGCAACAGCATGTTTAGCACCGTGTAGCATCCCCTCTTCTTTTAACAACAGCCTATAAACATCTGGGAACTGAAGACACCAGCTGTTGGTCTTTTGGGAGAGAAATGTTGTCCCATTGTTGATTGACACGGGACTTTACCTGCTCAGGAAGATTTTTTTATCATGATCTTCTTTATCATATTTTTTTTCATATTGTCATTTTGTTTAAAAAGTGGCTGTCAGTAGTTACTTAAGAGGCACTGTGTCAGTTTTGCCGAGCAAAAATTTAGAGAGGAAAGTATTTAAAAGGTTTGTAGCTTGTAATTTACCACAAATGTCATCAAATTTCACAGAGAATAGAAGCATGTCTCATTTATATGGACGAGCAGGATTCATGTGTAATTGCCACTGGTAGATGGCTCAGGGCTATGAGCATGGTCCCATATTTCTAGTCTTCAAAAAACAAGTATTTTAATGAAACAGATCAGAACTCAGGAAGGGAAATCTCATTACAAACACACATAGAGCGTAACTTTCATGTAGTTTTTAAGCTAATATCAGAGCTTTTATGTACCAAATGCAGCATTCAACAGGACTCATAGAGATCTGAAATGTGTAGATTAATGTCTTTATCTTAGAATATGTAATATTACTTTAATTAATACCTGCATCAATCGCAGTACTTGCGAATGATGGAAATCTGACAATATTTCTTTGTCTTTTTTCACATATCGTGCTGGTCAGCTGTTATTCTGATGCTCCACCTGTGCTGTCGGATTTACCCAGAGAACAGCTGTGCAAACATACACCGCCGATGAGCAGGTCTGCTTGTTTTTGTTACTGAAGTGTGTGCTGCTTTCGATAAAACGCGGATCATTATTGAAGTGGACTGGCTACCTTGCACTCGACTGAGTGCATCTTTGCTAATTTGTCCTGCTTACTAAATTTGCCCCCTAATGTCAGATTATCTGAACCTCTGTCTCTCTGACTATGAGCATCAGGTGTTTGTTTATATAAGAGCAAGAATACACATTAAAAATAACATTGCATTAAAAATGTATTGTTTAAGAGTTAAACAATTCACTAGAGCTTTCCTACCATCACAACTGGGCCACCTCACCCAAATATACACTAAGAAAAAAAAATCCTCTCGCACGTTTTCTCCCAGCCTTTCATGTCATGTTGTACTGAAATTAACTGCAGCAGGGTACAAATGTCCCCAATAGTTGCTTAAAATGAAGCAGAAACAGGAATTACAGGTTCGATTCAAGCTGGCAAGTTGCGTGTCTCTCAAGCCCTCGGCGGTGACGGCCTCTTTCCCGTGTCAGCAGAAATACAGACCCTGCACTGCTGCAAATTTGGACCATGAACACTGATTTGATTTGGTGCGCCTTAAACGAGGCTGAGGGAGAGCAAGAGGAATAGAGTGAACGTTTGTGCAAAAAGACGAACAGGAACTGCGTGCTGCGGTACGCTGCGGTTTCTCCACAACATGGGCGGGAGGTATTAGTGAGTAATTGTTAGAAGTTTTACTTCAGCAAAAATAACTGTATTTCCACAGCAAAATAAAACCAGTAAAACAGGATTTGCTCTAAAGAGCTGCAAAACAGTGGAAAGACTTACTCTTTCTCCTTTATCGCCTTTGGTACCAGCAGGACCCTGGAACATAAAAGCACATGAGGAGAATAAACAGTCAACAGGGCTGAATGCTCACACACAGCCATCTCTTTTTCTGTCCCCATCTTATCAAGCCCCATCTCTTCATCTCTTTTCATCTCTGACATAACAGCTAGTACAACTAAATACATCTAAAATATGACAAAATGAGCCCAGAGTCTTTGTTTTCTTTCCATAACACTCATGAGCTCCAAAGTTAGAGTGCTCACAAACAGAGGGCATCATCTGTGTCTTGGATGGGCTTGCTTTCCTCCAATGTCAACACTGTAAAGCACAGAGATGCATATCTGAACACGGTACGCGCATACTCTGAAATACCTGCCAAGCTTGCATATCAGAGGCAAATTAAAAACAAAGATTTCATGGCCGCGTGAACCGTGAGCTGATACAATAAATATAAGTGTGATGCTGCTGCAGCTTTTGAATAGAGTTTTGTTTATCTTGGGAAAACGTGTCCTTGACCACCAACTGACAGGCTGCGTTTGTGTGTGTGTGAGGGAGGCTGAGCTGAGAGGGATAGAGAAAATGCGTGCATGCTGGCCTGGGATATTATATGCATATTATACCACAGATGATAAAAAGGCTTTGCCAACATTTGACACAGTGGCTGAATTGGAGTGCAGGTCTGAACAATAAAAGTCTCTTCCTGGACCTCCGCTGCGTGCCTGTTTGGAGGTTCTGAATCTTCCTGGGCACATAAATGTCGACTATCTCATCAGGTGCCAAAGAGCACAAGAAAGACAGAAGAACAGCTCTGGTATAAATCAAATTTCTTTTATGACTCAATCAAAAGTGTCTTTCCAACATGTCATGTATACAAAGAGTCTTTCCAAAGTGCAGAGTTGGTGTTTTTTCACTCAAAATATTTCCCATTTTATCTGAGAAGGAAAGTCCACTTGCGAAGACTTCAAATGTGGACTCATAAAACAGCCACTAGGTTTGTTCCTTTTTTTCCTTTTCATAACTGGCAAACGCCAGCTAGTCAACCCCTCAGGTGGTTGACTAGCTGGAAACCACATCCAGAAACTGTATCTGGTCTCAGTCCCACAAACTCAGGACGTTGGCGAGAGCTACGACGTGTTTCAACATCTACTGACAACCAGAATGAGATTTGGCAAATATGCAAGTCAATCAAGGAGTAAAGCATATTTAGATTCTCACTCAGTCTTCTCCCTTCCAAAGACCTCCATGCATATGTTTTGTTCTAAGTCTCTATTAAAAAGCTTCATAAATCCCTATATTTACAGATGGCACATAGCATTTCCAGATGCACCATGTCTTCCCTAACAGAACAGTTTGGGTTTTACATTAGATGCTCGAGGCAAGAATTTGTAGAAAGTGCAGAATGACCTTCTTCTCTGCATTTTTAAACTCTATGCTCACTCTGTGCTCAAGAAACTGTCTCTTATCTAATTTGTCAGAGTAGTGGGATAGATGTACCAGGTTCTACCTCAGACAAACAGGTAGAGTACTCTAGGACTCACTTCTGAAGCAAAGTGGTAAATTTCCCTCCAGAATTAACTGTCTGCTATTTTAAACAACTTGTTTAAGAAGAAAAATATTCTCCTGCAGCACTGGTGAAAGGTTGCAGGGGGCAGAACAGACACTGAATCAGTAATTTCTGGTTGAGATAAAGTTTGAAACTCAAAGTTTAATAAAACGCCAGGAAGGAAAATGTTTTTCCATTCATTCAATGGATGCATGTTTGTACATTCATAAAGTGTTTGCTACCCCCCCTCCTTCTGTATCTCGTAGAATTGCCAGATGTGATCTCTCACTGTTTTTGGGTATATGTTGAGGAGAGAGGAAGTGATTTATAGCCCTACTGTCTGAGCCAAACTTGCTGCTGGCCTGCAAAGCTGACCCAAGACTAGATTAGCTGTCACAGGACTCCACAGTATCATCTGTTCCTGTTAGCATTACACAAAGCATGGATCCCCACACCATCTCCTCAGCATCCTCATCTAAAATTATGTTTCCTGCACAAATTCTTCTAAAGGGCTAAACAAGTCTGACTTACTGTACTTCGGATATTAAAGCTAAAATAAAAGTTTTAAGGCTTCTCAATTTGCGACCAGTAAATCATTAAGTTGACCTTAAGCACCTTGGTGGATGTAAGATGAATTCTTGTTAACATGTTAACATGACCCATATGAAGCGCCTTGAGGCGACTTATGTTGTGATTTGGCGCTATATAAATAAAATTGAATTGAATTGAATTGAATATGCACACTACCAAAAACATGACCTCCTTGGCAGAGGTTGTGATGTTAGTTTGATTACTGCTCAAAAGCAGAGGAAAAGGGAAATATAAAGTGGAAGAGAACAAGACTTCCTCAAGGACTAATTACATCTGAATATGAGGGAAAAAACCAAAATGTGTATTTACACTTCCTAAACTTTGTGTAGGTAGGTTTATGTGAAGGTTGGTTAATATGGTTCTGGTCAGACAATAAGGTGTTTTCTCAGCATACACAGCGCATCATGTCATAATATTTCATTGCAAAGTCCTCAGATAAATGCAGTATCATACTAATCTTAACAACAACAAAAAAACAAAACCGAAAAACAAACAAACAAAAAAAACATTTTCACTCACAGGAACTCCTTGATCCCCTTGTGGCCCTGTTGGCCCACCTGGTCCTGGAGCTCCTGGTGCTCCTGGTGCTCCCTGAAAAAGGTGCAGATGGAGAACAAAGATGGCTGAAAGCTGAGGGATCAAGTGGATTTTTCACACAAAATCACAGTGCAACTAATAAGAAAACAGACTTACAACTGGTCCTGGGGGTCCTCGTTGCCCCTGTGGTCCAGTATTACCTGGCAGACCCTGCATGAGTGAAATACAGTACATTTATTAAAGTCGGCTGCACTCTTTTAATTCCTGTGGGCTTCTCTGGGAACCCAAACGCTGTTGCATCTGCAGCTTCTGCTGGTGGTAACTGCACACACCAAATCAAATCTACTTTCATTTTATACAAAACACAGTTTTATTATTTTTCACTCTCTTTTACTTTTAAACACCGCTCTGCATTTAATCATAAGTCTGCGTCTTTTGTCTATCCTCACCCCCTACCGCCGACCGGTCCTGATAGATGGCCCCGCCCCTCCCTGAGCCTGGTTCTGCTGGTGGTTTCTTCCTGTGAAAAGGGAGTTTTTTCTTCCCACTGTTACCAAGTGCTCGCTTATAGCTGCAGGATCTTTACCTTACAAAACCTTTAGGTGATTGTTATTGTGATTTTAAATGCACCTCTACCACTTCATGCATGATACATTTATGTACTATGCGGTGATTCTTTTTCAAAAGCACAGTTTTTATATCAGAAGCACACTGAAATTGTGTAGGCCAATTTTCTGAATGCCCACATATAATAACATGATTTGAAATGACATGATGGTGGACTTGTTTTAGGTCAAAATATAGTTGTAATTCGAATTGAACAAATTCCCTGTTATTAATGCTGAACACGGCATCGTAGTGTTCTGGAGAACAGCTTAACCTGAGGTTAAGCTAATCCTTTCATTCCAGTTTGGATGTACTTTGTGGTTAAACACTGAGTCCCCTTCAGTCTTAACAGACTCAGATTAACCTTTGTGAGGGGAAGCCATCCATTAATAACAACAAAGCGACATAAACATGGAGAGTATGACACAAATGAAGACTCCCCAGTCGGGCTACATCCTACTGTCACCAAAGTTAAACTGTCATCCTTTCAAATAAATATAAGCAGTTTGTGACAGCACAACAAAATCTGCACTTATTGCACAACAAGATATGCCGGAGTTTCTCTGAAATAGCTGAGCTGCTATGAGACATCTGAAAACTCTTCAGCGAGAGTTACTCTGGTGTCACACAGTAAACACTCGTCAACCCACTAATGGGACTCTGGAGAGGGCCTCAGATCCTCCCAGTAGTCATGCCTTAAAATGTCGAATACATTTTACTTTGAAATCCTTTCAGTCTGAGCAGAAGCGAATGAGGAGCAACAAGAATTCAAATCTTTGTGAAGCAAATCTGCTGAGGTCCTGGGCAGAAGTCCGCCAGCAGTCGCACTAAATACTCACCATTTAATCACACAAAATGTTTCATTAATGCAAGTATAGTACGGATGTATCCATCCAGCACTAATATAATGTCTAATGTACACACAAACATCATCAGTTACAGCTATAGTGCAATCCTGATTTTTCCTTTTCTGTCTCTGAGGTTCAAATAAGAAATTCAGTCTCCGGCCTTTTCTCACAGAGGTCAGGCTCATGAAAATGTATCACTGCTGTTGCATTTCAGAATCAGAGCAGCTGCAGGTTTAAGGGCTATATTCTGAGAAACTGTGGGGAGCCTAATCTAACTGCAGCATAATATCCATCAACAGTGCACAGGCTCTGTTTTTGTAACCTCTATTAAAAAGTCTTTGTATTAATTTTAAACTTTCTATGCAAAGTCCTGCGAGGACACAGACGGGTGAGAACTGTAGCGTCGCAGTGTTGGATAATTTATAAGTCACCGGTAGATCCCAAATAATAAATGTGCGAGCCAAAGTGATGGCCCTCACAAGAATTTCATCACGGTTTCATGAGCCTGGATCTTGGGGAAAACTTGGATCAACTTAGTTTTCTCCTGAGTTGGGAAACTTTGACAAAATAAAGATTTATAGCTTTGCTTGATCCATTTCTCTGTGATATTACGAACAAATAAAGTACCTCGGAGACAGTTGCTGTTGTTTCATCTGATCTAACTGGCAGCAGTCCACTTTTAGGCAGACTTGTGTTTGTTTTTTCTCCAAGCCAGGCTATCTTTGGCTTATATACACCTCTTAAAGACTTCTGTACTGTGTGTATGCCCATAGGAGGAGAGTGATACTGATACAGTTTTACCGTATCAGGAAAGGATCATCTGCTTTCCCTAGCTGGCATTGTACACACTGGATGATACAGGCTGGTGTAAATCCCCATTTATTGCTAATCCCAAAAGTACCACACGCATTGTGAATGGCTATTAAGTTTCTCTAATTACTGCTCAATTGGTAAAAGCTTCCTTTCTATATTGCAGTTAAATGACTGTTGATATCAGAGATTGCTGTTGCATCGATAACATCTGATGAACTGATATTTAGCGCTATTCCCTCCTTCTTTGGATGCATTCAGCCTGAGAGCACTGCTGGATTTAATTCCACAGCAATTAAAGCACTGATTAGAGATATTTTCTCTATTTGCATGGAAACTGAATTCTCATTAACAATTTGCGAGTTTACACACCAGTGCACTGTGGGTTATTTTTAAAAACATAAAATTCACGGCAGATCTGTAGCATGTTGATGAAATATTAATGTGGGAGGTCAGTCATGCACAGTGGCGCAGAGGGGACGCCTCTCCAATCGAGAGCAGCTAAAATTGCTTCCTGAAAAGTAATTGAACACGATTACACTCAATAATTAGGTTGGTAAACACGGTATTCCTTGAGTGTATGATACAGTGCAGGCTGGTGATTGCGATGTCCCACCAGGGCTCCAAAATTATGTTTTTAACTGTTGATTATATCTGTAATTTCCTGTTAGATATTGTACCTGCCCGTGTCTGTTGTTTCAGATACCTCCAGCTCTGGTGCATTTCCTACCTTTGTGATTGTGCGCTCCACCCTAATGAGCTGCACCTGTGTTTAATTGTCCCCCCTCAGTGTATTCAAGCTGTTTCCATCTTCCTCTGCCAGACAGCGTTAGAGCAATGTGTCAAGCGTCCAGTAACCCCTTTATTGTGTCAATCGGCCTGTGTGTGTCTGGCTTTGTTTCTGACACTCATTCTCATTTTGTTAGCTGTGTTGGACCAGTCGCTCGCAGACTAGACCCCTCAAGTAAAAGCTGCCCTTTTGAACTTACACCTAGCATCTGTAGGTAGTTGTAGAGGAAAAAAGCTGTAGATGGAAACTATTCAATATATTGCTTCAGCTATAATCCTGAACTGTTTCATAATCTGTTTTTAATGCAAATACGCTTAGTTAAGAAGCTTCAGAAAACTTTATATACAGTTTTATGTTATGTTATTTTAGAAACCTGTCAAAAACCTTTTAAAACAAAAAATTCCTGAATTCATGTTGTTATAGCCACATTTGAGCTGGCATACTGGAGTTCTCTGAGAAGTCAGAAATTAATCAAGCATAATATTCAGCTGCAAGTAAAGATTTTCATTTGAAATCTTAATAAAAATAATAATAATGTGCTTTATTATTTAATCTATCTGCCGTTTTGTAAAGCAGTCAATTTGAATATTTATGGATGACAACAATAATTATACTATAGCATTAAAATTATTATTTTGATTAATGAGCTTGCACATACTGATCATTACAGAAACAAAAAAACCATTCTAGTAATTAATAATGCTGTTAATTAGTTAAATACTGTACTTCACTAATTAGCAGGTTGAGGTGATGATGTAAAGACATTTTGAGTAAACATACGTTGGAAGCACAGCTGCTTTAGTTTCAGTGTTACTTTCTTTGCGTTGCTCTTGCTCGCTAGCTAGCTTACTCTTATGATTTATGTTAACAGCAATTTTTCAGTTTTTTCTTTTACTATGAGCCAAAATGTCAGCTGTGAAAAACCAAGCGTATTCTGACTCAGTGTTTTGGACTGTAAATCTTTCCATTACAGTCAGAGTGTTGTTGGATGCAGTCTGTAGCGTAGCGTTTGAACACACAAGCCAACTCTCGATCCACATTTGTAGCAGCTCTGCAGAGCCTTTAACGTTTAAAAATATTACAATATGGCGCACACTCTAATATAAATGATGTACATTAGTCTGTCAAGTGGTATCAAACTGAGCTTTAATATTTTAAAAGTATTAAAGAACTGAATCCAAAAGAAAAAGAAATAGGAAAAAAAAGAACAAATCCCTGTGAGCATTAAGTTCACTGGCTTAAGTGTACTAAGACAGCTGAGAAGTGCTGCTACTGATCCTGCAACAGTTTCCTGGACTCTTTTACTAAATGCCTGCATCATTATACTGTATTTGCTGCACAGTCTGACAGATACACCTGCTGTGTTTCTCAAATCACGTTCTTCCTTACACACAAGTTAAGTGCTTAAGAGCCTTCACACAATCCATCTATGTGAGGTGCTCTACAAGTATCCGTATGGTGCACTCATAGTGAACAAATATCACCAGAGTGGCTACGCAGTGGAAAGAGGGAAAGGGAACGGGCACATCATCAGCTGATGATGCAGATGCTAGGTGCTTTTACACTGTTTAGGTGCTTACAGTACTGTGCAAAAGTCTTGAGCTACCCCTTTCTAATTTCTTTAGTTGAATCTACAAAAAAACAAACAAACAAGATGACACAGTTCAGTGGCCATAAAATATGCACCAATTTTGCACCAAAGAGATAATTCCCATAGACCTATTACCTAAAAACTGACATATAATCAGGATGGTGTGCAATGTGTCCTAAAAAACAAAAATTGAGGGAACTGGAGACGTGGTGGACAGAAGAACTGGCAAGCCTAAAAAACTATCTACAGCAGATGAACAGTATCTCGAAGTCCTTAAAAAATAAAAAAAATAAAAAAAATCTGAGGATGCATCTGGCCTTCAATTCATCCATCTACTGTTCATCAAATCCTCATCAAAATGGTCTCGATGGAAGGATGGCTGTCAAGAAGGAGAGAGGAAACAGGAAAAGGCTAAGGTATGCCAAATTACACAAGTATTGGACTGAAAATCGGTGGAAACAGGTTTTATGGACTGATCAATCTAAATTTACAATTTTTGTCTCAAGTAGTCATCATTACAGTGGGGGAAATGAACAGGCTTCATGGCTTTATGGTAGTTTCACTGTTTAATGGACACAATAAAATTATAAACTGATTTGCATATCAGTTAATAAAATAAGTATTTGATACCAAAGTAGAAACCTTTGTTGGCAAACACAGTGGTAAGACATTTCTTTTAGTTGGTTACCAGGTTTACACAGATCTCAGGAAGGATTTTGGCCTACTACTCCTCACAGAAACCCTCAAAGTCCTTTAGGTTTCTTGGCTGCTGCTTGGCAACTCAAAGCTTTAGCTCCCTCCACAGATTTTATTTAATAGGATGGAGGTCTGGGGACTGGCTAGGCCAGTTGTTGCCTTGGTGGTATGTTTTGAGTTACTGTCATGGTGTAAGACCAATCCATGACTCATCTTCACTGTTCTAGCAAACAGAAAGAGGTTCCCATCTAAGATTTTTACAGTACATGGCCCCGTCCTTTAGCCCTTCAGTGCTGTGAGGTTGTCCTGTTCCCTTAACAGAAAAACAGCTTCAAAGCATAATGTTTCCACAATCGCTTCTACAATTGTTTCCATGACAGCTCTTTGGTCTTGTCCATTCCACACGTGTGCTTTACAGGGAGTGCAGAATTATTAGGCAAATGAGTATTTTGTCCACATCATCCTCTTCATGCATGTTGTCTTACTCCAAGCTGTATAGGCTCGAAAGCCTACTACCAATTAAGCATATTAGGTGATGTGCATCTCTGTAATGAGAAGGGGTGTGGTCTAATGACATCAACACCCTATATCAGGTGTGCATAATTATTAGGCAACGTCCTTTCCTTTGGCAAAATGGGTCAGAAGGAGGACTTGACAGGCTCAGAAAAGTCAAAAATAGTGAGATATCTTGCAGAGGGATGCAGCAGTCTCAAAATTGCAAAGCTTCTGAAGCGTGATCATCGAACAATCAAGCATTTCATTCAAAATAGTCAACAGGGTCGCAAGAAGCGTGTGGAAAAACCAAGGTGCCAAATAACTGCCCATGAACTGAGAAAAGTCAAGCGTGCAGCTGCCAAGATGCCACTTGCCACCAGTTTGGCCATATTTCAGAGCTGCAACATCACTGGAGTGCCCAAAAGCACAAGGTGTGCAATACTCAGAGACATGGCCAAGGTAAGAAAGGCTGAAAGACGACCACCACTGAACAAGACACACAAGCTGAAACGTCAAGACTGGGCCAAGAAATATCTCAAGACTGCTTTTTCTAAGGTTTTATGGACTGATGAAATGAGAGTGAGTCTTGATGGGCCAGATGGATGGGCCCGTGGCTGGATTGGTAAAGGGCAGAGAGCTCCAGTCCGACTCAGACGCCAGCAAGGTGGAGGTGGAGTACTGGTTTGGGCTGGTATCATCAAAGATGAGCTTGTGGGGCCTTTTCGGGTTGAGGATGGAGTCAAGCTCAACTCCCACTCCTACTGCCAGTTTCTGGAAGACACCTTCTTCAAGCAGTGGTACAGGAAGAAGTCTGCATCCTTCAAGAAAAACATGATTTTCATGCAGGACAATACTCCATCACACGCGTCCAAGTACTCCACAGCGTGGCTGGCAAGAAAGGGTATAAAAGAAGAAAAACTAATGACATGGCCTCCTTGTTCACCTGATCTGAACCCCATTGAGAACCTGTGGTCCATCATCAAATGTGAGATTTACAAGGAGGGAAAACAGTACACCTCTCTGAACAGTGTCTGGGAGGCTGTGGTTGCTGCTGCACGCAATGTTGATGGTGAACAGATCAAAACACTGACAGAATCCATGGATGGCAGGCTTTTGAGTGTCCTTGCAAAGAAAGGTGGCTATATTGGTCGCTGATTTGTTTTTGTTTTGTTTTTGAATGTCAGAAATGTATATTTGTGAATGTGGAGATGTTATATTGGTTTCACTGGTAAAAATAAATAATTGAAATGGGTATATATTTGTTTTTTGTTAAGTTGCCTAATAATTATGCACAGTAATAGTCACCTGCACACACAGATATCCCCCTAAAATAGCTAAAACTAAAAACAAACTAAAAACTACTTCCAAAAACATTCAGCTTTGATATTAATGAGTTTTTTGGGTTCATTGAGAACATGGTTGTTGTTCAATAATAAAATTATTCCTCAAAAATACAACTTGCCTAATAATTCTGCACTCCCTGTATGTACAAAGAGTTGAGATCAGAAGTGTCTGTAATTGGCTGTGGCCACATTACAATCAATCTTGGAGAGCCATAATTAGGGCTGGATTGTAGGGATCAAATACTTATTTCACTAAATGACATGTAGAAAGATAGCTTGCCTAAGAGAGTTCAGGCTTTATTGAAGAATAATAGTGATCATAGCAAAATACTGACTATCAAGCTTGTTAGACTTATACAAACTCTTTTTTTGCCTTATATACTGTATATCCATGTACATTTGCACATTTGAATACATTTCACATTTTCCTAGCAAAAAATAAAGAATGAGGGACGGCTCGAGATTTTTTCCACAGTATTTATTGTATTCATGCGAATGTGTAGCAAAAACATAAGGCCAAAGGCACAAATGCTTGCAGATCTTAATAAATGTTTTTGGTGAAAGTGGCATTTCTAGTAGTACACAGTGTGATGTTGCTTTGAGACAACATTACAAATCTTAAAAGTCATGTGCTACATAAGTAAGTACTGAGTGTAACACAACTTTAAGTCAGCACGAGTTGTACAATTTGTTGAAACTTCACTGTGAATTCAGTTTGACTCTGTGGAAAATTTCTGATAATCAAATCTGAACTTTCTCAATACTGTATTTAAATTCAGGTGGCAAAAAGATCAAGTAAAAAAAGTTTTAAGTTTACAAAGATGTCACTGACTGATTTAATTAAACCAAATTATAATGTAAGTTGGTTGTTTTCCTTCTAAAAGTTCATGAACTCCAAACCTCTCTGGCACAGTGAGAAGAAACTCTGGCCAACATGCAAGCATCCTCAAGGAAACCACATGACAAGCCTGAAAACTATGCAAGACGTCTTCTGACAACTACCACTGAGGGGATGAGTGCTTGGACATGTGTGGGCCAAAAAAGAGACAGCAGATGGATGAAGTGCAAGACTTTCACCTCTCCAGGAGCCAGACTAGGACAACAGGCTTCTATGACTATGTTACATATTTGGAATAAACCTCCTTTTTTCTGCTTGCTGATACATTACCCTCTGGCTATGTTTCTGTTTTGGTATTTACAGTCCAGTTGAGCATTGTAAGGCCTGATCCCGCTGTCAGCATCAACTACAGACCAGCTGGTATCACAGAGCCCTAAAAGTGCTGGATCTCATATACTGTGAATGCTGTACATGAAACCAGGGTGATGTAGCTCTGAACAACTGGGGGAAGACATGCATGGTTTTATGAAGACACATAAAACTAAACAGAGAAATGCAGCTGGACATTAACCCCTTAGCAGTCCTACAAATTTACAATTAGTCCCCTAAACCATCCAATGTACCGTGGGCGGTACGTCCGACTGCTAACAGGTTAAGGCGCTGTGCAAAGCTGGAAATGGATCATAAAAAATGTTCTCAATAAACACGCCTCTGTTTTCACTTTCCTTTGTATGGTATTATTTATCTAACTCATTTAACTGAATGCAAACTTTGATTTTCATATTAAAGAAACTACAAAGAAATGCCATGAATATTAATGAATCTATGTATATTTCCTCAAAACTTATTTAGTGTATTAGAGCATATTTTCGTGATGACAGCGGAGTGATTATGCAGCTGTTTTACTGTTTTATCTTTAAAGGCAGATCTCATCCATTGTGCCTTTTTTATTTAGATGATCACTTTCAGAATTGTATTTTACACCCCATTAAATTAAAACGTCCACCCCTATGTACTGTATTTCAGACTGTAGTTAACCAAATGCATGCATTAGACAGTACACTACACTCTACATTTCCAACAACCAACAAATCAGGCAGCGTAACACAAACCAGCAAAGCTGAACATCATGTCAGTATCTTACCCTTGATCCTGGGGGACCATCTCTACCAGGTGAGCCAGGACCTCCGGGAACTCCCTGAGAAAAACACAAACACAGGGGTTTGAATTATTGTGGCAATACAGACTGACTGAGGATTTATGCTTCAGTGCGAAAACTACGCCATAGCTACGTAGCAACCACTAACAAATCTGAAACCCTACAGTCCAAACTGATGCTAACCTGCCTAAAACCTTAACCACACGGCATGTCGCGCAGCTTTTCAGCACTATCAATGTCCAGCTACTTTTTTACACCAGGTTTTGAATTTACCAGTGACAACTTATTTCAATATAAGAAATAATAACAGCATTAATGTAAGAATTCACGAATGTCGGCATAATCATGGAGTGATTTTGTTAAAACTGCGGGAATGGATGTGAAGGAATGGACAAATAAATGGAAGAACTTGAGGAACACAGATATCTGTCCCTGAAAAAAGCTAATCACAACAAAAGATGTCCCAGCTTTTTATTTGTTTCTATCGGCTGGTGTTAGGATTAAAATTATTTAAGCTGTTTTTTATATGCACATTGTGATGGGATCATTAAAGAGTTGGAGCTCCATGTTTTGAAGGTCGGAAGCTTCATTCAGTGCTATGACTGAATTGAAATATTGTGATTGACGTAGAGTCCAGAGGGTTTTTTCGCAGCATGCTTACACATCATAACTAGCTAACACTCAGGATGATATTTACTGGGCCAAGGGAGTCTGAACAGAATATCCCGAACTTAGATAATAAATAGAATCAGTAAGAGATTTATAATCAAGGCTACGCAGGGAGGTGTTTTCTTTTTCTGTTTCTGTTATTCCAGGAAGGAGCAGATAGGAGGTTGGAGAGAAGACTCATAGGGAAACAGTCGGACCACCACATCGCTTCCGGAAGAATACTTGTTTTTGTTGGGGTATAAAACTGCACGGCTCCATCCGGGGTCATCCTTTCTGTGAAGACAGATGGCTGATTTCACAGAGAGGTCCAGTGCTGTAACTTGTAATTTCAACTGCTGAAGCATATTAAATCTTTTTAAACAACAGACATTCTCCAGTACTTCCTGGAGACTGAACACGACACTTGCTCCATGCATAAATCAGACATGACATGACCGAACGGTAATTAACACATAATGCACAACGCAGATTCATAAATGCCAGTGACGTCATCGGCAGCTTGTGTAGGTTGCATCATTGTCCATCAGCAGGAATCTCATCATAATTAGGAAAATGTATTTGTAGTATTTCCATGCAGTCATCTTGGTTGTTGCTGACCTGATATGAGCAGGAAACCAAAGGACTTAAATCAGCCTTCAAAATCAGATTTTCTTTAAAATTGTGAATTCATTTAATTTCTTCTTCTTCTTTTTGCACCATCGCAGCCCAGCGAATTTTTAAAAAGTGTTTTAGCTGCCGAATCACGTACAGTATATCAAGGAAAGTCTTTATCCATAAATGTCTCATAATAATTAAAATACGCACAGACGTGCTACTAAAGGTCAGAACAGCTGAGGATTTGCTATCTTGCTCAACAATGCTTTGACGGCAGTGGACATAAATCTGATTTATAAAACGGACCAGCTTTTAACCCTCTGGGCACAGACAGTCTTCATATCAGCAGTCGACCCCGCCGCTCCATCTCCTGCCCCATTTCCCCTTCATCCGCCTCTCCGCAGGTCAATGCACACACAGCCAATTCCAAAATGCAGCCACGGACTGCGTGCTGAGGTGATTTATCTCCGCACTTCAGTATTAGTGGAGGGCTCATAAAACAGGACAGTTAACACTGTTAAAGGTTCTACAAATTACAGGACGGGGTCGCGGAGGACAGGCCTCATATGATTAACGATGTGCCGCCGTTCAGATGTTGCCTGATGTGCACTCTCCCATGACATCTGCAATAATACCTCCCCTGCAACTTTCACTCAGATATCGACAAACTTCAAGAAACACGTGGAGCGGAGAGGCAAACCTCCACGTCTGCACAAAACACAAAGACTGATGAAACCATTGCTGACATTAAAGACGAAGTTAGTAAAGCAAACTGCAAAAGAAAAATAATTACAGCAAAAAAATGTTATGAAAGTATCGTGGCTCTATGTAAAATGTAAATAAAAATAATAATTCAATAATTTAAACACTACATCCACAAACACTACATATTAAATGTTAAATAAAAAGTGCGCTGCATCACCTTTTCTTTCAAAAAAGCAATAAGACTAATTTCTCATTTATTTCTCGCTTTATAGTAAAATGATTTCAGCTGCTCGACACTTCTGAGTTTCTTTTATGGTAAATATGCCAAAATATGTGCGTGACACGTCCAGTTTAGCAGCTGTACTGTTTTACTATCAAGCCCCGCTGTCATAAGCTGTACATGTGTTCTGCGATCTCCTGCTTTCACAAGCCAAACCTTTCCTCAAAACTATATTATTATATTAAATTTGCAGTCTAGATGGTCCACATCCTCTTTAGCTCGTAGGATGAGACATTCTTTACTTCAAGGAAGAATTCAACATTTTCAAACTTGAAACCACAGGACAGTTTTCCACTTTACCTCAGTCTCTGAAATTAGCTCAGGCACAGTAACATTTCTAAATGTTATTTCAATACATTTTTTGCTCTGCATGATCGAGTTTCAGCTTGCATTTGTGGATAGTGATTAACTCTGTTCTCGGACAGGCTTTAGGATGTCCTCCTGACCACATGCAGTGATTTCCAGGACAGAACTGTGCTGTGTTTATAATACAACACTGTCTGAGGCCCTGAAGATCACAGCTGTTTATTACTGGCTTTAATTTAATCTTTTAAAGATATCATATACTGTGCAAGATAAAATACTCAAACTGCAAATTTAGATTGCTCTGTTTTACTGATGGGGCACCGCCCTCCTCCGCCCTTATAATAATGCCACTATATAACCCAATTAGCTCTGAGTTAATACACCATGTGGGTTTTTTTTGTAGAGAACTAGAGAGTTTTTCAAGTCTTTATTTTTATTATTATTTTGCTTTTGTCTTGACTTTCCTTTGAAGGAGTTCCCTGTATAACATTCAAATTGAGCATACGTGCTGAAAACACATAAAATGTCAGTTTCAACATTAAATAGGCTGTTTTTGTATTATTACATTTAATATAGAGTTTAATTAATTTGGATATAATGGTATTGCATACTTATTCATATTTTCCATTGTCCCATTTAGTTTTTTTGGTTTCTTTTTTTGGAGAGCAGTACCTGTACCGATTTTTTTTTAACCACTTTTAAGAAAAAAAGCTTCAAGTTTCAGTTATAGTCTAACTATAAAATATTCAGTGTTTGATCATAAAATATTAAAATATTCTTTTGTTTCTTGATAAATGCTGCATAATTCACAACACCCTGAGAATAAAATGAACAGGCAGGCCAAAGAAATTAATAATTGGAGTGCGCGAGTGATTCTGATTCAATACATTAGCCTCGGGATTTACACACACACGGAAATGCACAGCTGTAAATTTCCATGGTGTCCGGCAGATAAAGGACTGAGATGAGGGGGTCATGTGGGGCAACCGTATATATCCGCACAAGATCAAGAATGAGACCAATTTGAAATTATTGCCTATACCAAAACAACCCGCATCCCTCTCTCAGACAAAACCAAAATTATTAGTCGATAACAAAACCTCACATGCGCGCGATAAACAAAATGAAAGCGAGAGATGAGAGAGACGGCTACGCACACAAACACACAGTCGCCGCTCTTCAATGCAGCTGCATTTTTCATTGTCAAATTGAAACAGAGGTGGAGGGGATGCTGACGACAAGGTTACATTGTATTTACTGCAGGAAGAAACAGAGCGAGGGCAAGAGGGAGAGAGAGAGACTGAGGTAATTGATGCTTTAGAGTTGTGATACTCTCTGTGGTCCCTCGTATATTACAACAGGGCCCTGGAAGCTACATTATTCCCCCACTGAGCCACACACACACCCATTCATATTCCTTGCTGTGACAAAAAACATTATTACTCAGTAACATAGTGCAGCACAGGGCAGCACTGCCAGCTTTTATTAATAGGGCTATGCAGGCACAGAGAGCGCTAGATAGTGCCGCATCGAGGACTGCTGAAGCTCTCCGTGAGCTCGTTGGGAGACTAGTTGTTCTCGCCTCCTGAGAGTGGCTAACGTTTCGCTGCGCTTCTGAAAATGAAACTAATAGAAACAAACATTTTTTGGGGGGACAAATAGAAAACATTTTCAAATTCTTTCAGAAAATGAAAATTTGCAATTTGTTGGGCATTGAAATGCAGGTGAATTAAAATTGTCACAATCAGCAGGGCTGGCTGCGTGTAGAGTGAAACGTGGACCCAAATGCAGACGAAACAAAACGTGAAACGTGACTTGAATAACCAAAAATGAGCCGTTTATTGAGCTGGCAAAATAACTGCAAACAAAAGGCAAAAGGCAAGACATGAGCCTAATGACAGGACAGGGGAAGTGAAACTAAATACAGTGAACCAAGAACACCCAACTCCTTCAAAATAAAACCGGAAACACTGAAACTAGACATGACAACAAGTTTAACAGGCCTAACACGTGATGAACGATATAAGAACCCAAATACAGAAACCAATGAAACGATAAATAATGACTGCCTTTAACCTCAACGAAAAGCTAAATAGGAATGACACATGAACTAATCACAAATCTAAAATGAGACAAATACAAAATGTACTCAGAGCGCTGGGTCGGAGACAATCCAGCACCCCCATCCAATCAAGCTTTATTATAAGTGCAAAATTAAAAAGAGTTCTTATGTTAAATATCCTGTTGTGTGCAAAGATGTCGAGTGCCATTAGCTTGACTACCCAGGCTTTACTTGACCAATGAGAATTATTAATTATTTAATCATTCTTACAGTACCGAACAAAATCGGCTGATTCAACTGTTGAAGGAAACCATTAGAAAACGACCGTCCAAACATGGAGCCTGTGTGCTCTGCAGATCAATGTACGAGTGTGACACGATCAGGGGGAAGATGGGAACAGTGACTGTAACAAATTGTGCTCAGCGATGTAAAAAAAATAAATAAAATATAAGACTGCTCCTTTCTTTTTGCTCTGTGCTGAAGCCATCTCTCAAAATCAAAACCTTGGCACTGTCAGCTCGAGTGCAGCTGTTGTAATGAATTTAAGTTTAAGTTTGATCAAATTATTCTCTGAAACGTTCTTATCTCCGTAAACGTCTGGAGATATGGTTTGCAAAGACACAAGACAGAAGGCCTCTAGATGTTAGTCCATGTGCTAATAAATGACACTCATATATTATATCAATACTCCATCTCAAATGCGTTGAAACACATTTTCTTTTCTTCAACCAAAGCTGATGCATCCAGATAAATACTACACGCCTGAAAGGGTTCTTGGCCACTTCAAATGTCAATGGATTTTCTCAGTCTCCCAGTCAGAAGCCTACAAGCGTTATCTGTGTTCTTGTTCCAGTTCACAAGTTTAAAAACTAACCATTTCTACAACAGGCGGGCCTGCACAGAGCGGAGAGGATAGTGCTGCGTCAGGAGCTGCTTTAGCTCAGGAGAACAAGTGTGAGGAAGTGAGACAGAACTTTTACGCCTTCCGTTTTCTTCGCTTTCAAACAAAGTAAATTCAGCAAACCTTCGTTCACTGAAATGCATGCACATCACCAGGGATTATTTTATTTATCAGCTAAAAACAGAAAAACAAACTTGAAAAAATTAGAAAAACGGTCTGTCAAGAAGCACTTCTACAATAGTGAAAGTCTCTGCAGACTCCTACAGGTAAGTGATTCATTTAATAATTAACCAGTCTAGCTGCAAAACAGCAGAGATTCAGACTCCAGCTCAGCTTACACACCCATTACTCACCCTCACAGTTGTTTTCACTTAATTAGCCTGATTAGCTCTGTTTTCAGGAGTGGTGCGTGTATATTACCTTTGCTGGGGACATAAATCTGTTGACATAGTCACATTCTTAAGACTTATTTCCCTTTGGAGGCTAAATACCAAAGTCTTTATACCATAGCATTAAATTTTATGGTGCAAGGTTGTAGTAGGGTGAGGTTTTTTGGGGGGGCAGTAAAAGTAATGTCCTCTGAAGTGATGGAGACATTGTATATTAGTGGTTTGGGCCTATGACCTTCCACAATGACCTAACCTGAATCTGATTAAATAGAGATTTATTATAATACAGATACATTAAAAGAAGCACAAAAGTGACATATTCTTCCTTGAAAAATAAGCGTCTCCTGGTACACAGCTACTGAAACAATGACTGTGTCTTTGCTGATGTCCAGGGCTCCCAGTAGAACACCATTAAATTAATTCAGTATTACTTTGGATTGGTTCAGTGCAGAATAATGGAGACGCCTGTGATGATTATTCACATCTCACTGATTCCATTAGACTGCATCATGACCATGTGCATGTGTAGACTACTAAAACACACCCCCACACACTAAAACCCACCAACCACTAGCATTAAGACCAGAGCCTTCCAGTCCTGTAATTTGGATCTGACATGTTATTCCAGCCCATCCCACAGATGCTCAGCCTGACTGAGATCAGGGAAATAAGGTGGCCAAGTCGACACCCTACAGCTGTCAGGGTATACCTCTGTAATGAAACTGGGGGTTATGTGTTTAGGTACAAGCAAAAGTAACATCCAGATAAAGTTTCCCAGCAGAATATTGCCCAGAGCCTCAAGCCATGCCTACATGATGTCATCAAACCAGGCTAACCTTTTTTCCTTTGGACCACATTTGGCAGGTATTAAACCGGAAACAACTGTTTTACCTATTGTTCAGTAGAATGCTGCGTATACTGAGGCTTACTGTAAAGCACTGTTTCATTTGTATCATGTCACATATTTCAATGACAATTAAAGCTGAGTCTGAGTAAACGTTGCTGAGATCTTCACACTTGGACATTTATCTTGGTTTCAAAACATCACCTTCAAGAGCTGCTATAATGTGTCCACCTCCCTGAAGAGGGCCACCGTAACAAGTTAATCAGAGTTAATCACACTTCTCTCCCCCCTCCCTTCTCTCCCGCTCACTTACATAGTGTAATTATGAAATGATCAGGAGCAACACAACAACTGTGTCTACAACTGATCAAATGAAGCCACAGTAGTTCTAAACAAACCAATAATTTGCCGTGTCAGCACAGGAATGTCTTAAAGACATAAAGACCTGGATGGCCGCTAACTTTCTGCTTCTTAATTCAGATAAAACTGAGGTTATTGTACTCGGCCCTGAAAAGCTTAGAAATATGGTATCTAAGCAGATTCTTACTCTGGATGGCATTACCTTGGCCTCCAGTAACACTGTGAGGAACCTTGGAGTCATTTTTGACCAGGACATGTCCTTCAATGCACATATTAAACAAATATGTAAGACTGCGTTCTTCCATTTGCGCAACTTCTCTAAAATTAGAAATATCCTGTCTCAGAGTGATGCTGAAAAACTAGTTCATGCATTTATTACTTCCAGGCTGGACTACTGTAATTCATTATTATCAGGATGTCCTAAAAACTCACTGAAAAGCCTTCAGCTAATCCAAAACGCTGCAGCAAGAGTCCTGACAGGGACTAGAAAGAGAGAGCATATTTCTCCTGTTTTGGCTTCCCTTCATTGGCTTCCTGTTAAATCCAGAATTGAATTCAAAATCCTGCTCCTCACATACAAGGTCTTAAATAATCAGGCCCCATCTTATCTTAATGACCTTGTAGTACCATATCACCCTATTAGAGCACTTCGCTCTCGCTCTGCAGGCCTACTTGTTGTTCCTAGAGTATTTAAAAGTAGAATGGGAGGGAGAGCCTTCAGTTTTCAGGCCCCTCTTCTATGGAACCAGCTTCCAGTTTGGATTCGGGAGACAGACACTATCTCTACTTTTAAGATTAGGCTTAAAACTTTCCTTTTTGCTAAAGCATATAGTTAGGGCTGGACCAGGTGACCCTGAATCCTCCCTTAGTTATGCTGCAATAGACATAGGCTGCCGGGGGATTCCCATGATGCATTGAGTTTTTCCTTTCCAGTCACCTTTCTCACTCACTATGTATTAACAGACCTCTCTGCATTGAATCATATCTGTTATTAACCTCTGTCTCTCTTCCACAGCATGTCTTTTATCCTGTCTTCCTTCTCTCACCCCAACCGGTCGCAGCAGATGGCCGCCCCTCCCTGAGCCTGGTTCTGCCGGAGGTTTCTTCCTGTTAAAAGGGAGTTTTTCCTTCCCACTGTTGCCAAAGTGCTTGCTCATAGGGGGTCATATGATTGTTGGGTTTTTTTTCTCTGTATCTATGAAGCGCCTTGAGGCGACTTATGTTGTGATTTGGCGCTATATAAATAAAATTGAATTGAATTGAATTGGCCTGGCAAACATGTCACCAATAATGGCTACACAGGCAAGTCATTTTGGATTTTTTTCAGTCCAGTGCATTTTATCTATCACATTAGATATGTACTGGTGAGCTAATCATTTTGGTAAAACATTTTATTTATCCCTAACTAAGTTATCTGCTAAAGTTAATCAGAAATAACACACTGAGTCCATGTCAGCCTTAGTAAGAACGGCCGAAAGTATCAAGGAAACAAGAAAAATAATTGTAAAAAATCAAATGAAAACACAGAAATATGCTTTTATAGAGTAACACGTCTCATTTCTGTGAGCGTACAGGTCCAGGGCACCTTTTATTAGATGTAGGATTCATTTCAATTCTGCACACACACACACACACACACACACACACACACACACACACACACACACACACACACACACACACACACACACACACCCATAGCTGGGTATACTTAATAGTACTTAGCTCCTATAAGTAAGACAGAAACACAGGAGGAAAACATTGTATTTCAGGCAGGGTGGAAAGTAATTCCCTCTCCGTGTTGTACTTTTTAATGTAGGGAATCAGATCAGCGTGCCACAAAACACACTTTACTGCTATGTTTTACAACAGTGACCATTTTTGGGAAATGTTCTTACCATTGGTCCGGAAGGGCCGATCTCTCCTCTCTCTCCTTTCTCCCCAAGAGCTCCCTGTAAAACAAACAATGTCACTGCGGCTGGGCTGGACTCGTGGGCCTCGTGATAGCCACGGACTGGAAAAGCCAACATCAGTTATCTTAATAAGATGCCGGGCCATTTCTTTGGGCAAGATCCGAGAAATGTCTGGAAGTCTATTTGAGGCATATGTCAACATTTGTCAGTTCACAATGGCAGGTGGTAGACAGCTTAATATCAAGTGCAGTCATAATTGCACACATTTCTGAACTTGCTGAAGAAAGATGGGAACAAACTGCAAAAAGCACACGTCCAGTGACCGGTTATCATAATTCAGTGAAAGTGCTGCTTGAGAATGACAAAACTTGATATGTTACTTGATCCCAAAGTTTTATTTTTGTTATTACAGGAAGTTGTGCGAGTTTCAACGCTAAAGCAATTATGGAAAAATCCACCTTTACGCCAGTAAAGTCTTACCGGAGGCCCCTGAATGGAGAGTCCGTTGGGTCCTTGAGGACCAGGTTGCCCTGGGGGTCCAGAAGGGCCAACTTCTCCTACGGGCCCTTGAGGTCCCTGTGAAAAACAACACCACGTGGAACCAAAGTAGCAACTTTAAGTTACATATAGTAACACAGATCGGTGAGAAAGATAAACCCTGTGGTTCTTTAGTCTGACCCCCTGAGGATAAAAATGTTTTTGTGACCTCCTCACTCACCAGAATCTGGAATGGCAAAATTTAAGAGTGCAGAACACGACTGCATAGTCAGCAATAAAAAATGTCATTTAAAGGCATGACAGCCTTTTACATCAATTTAACCGTCTGTAGCATCTCCTGATGTGAGACTCTCTGTTGGAGAGATAAAGGAACTGGCCTGAATCGGGCTCAGAGGCTCATTTTCATAAACAAGGCTAAAAAGAACGTGAGAGCTTTATAGCTTTACTAAATATAAAAACGGACACGATCGCTGCTTCTGTTCAGATCGTTCTACACGTTTTTGATCAATTTAATCTCCAAAGAATGTTTAAGAGATTTTTTGTGCCAATTCATCAGCATGATGTCCATCAGGTTTAGATGGTTGCCATCCATCTGAAGTCAGGTCTTTGCAGCTCATTTCATTGGTGTGTATGGATTACAAACCCAGTTCACAAACAGGAGACAGAAAAGAGAAATTCCTACAAACCACGACTGACTTGCAGTATTTGTGGCTTGTTGGCTGAGCGGCAGCAGTAGCCAAAGTAATCGTTGCTCCAGCTGTATTTATTATTTTAAAGTTCAGCCTTAGAGGTTGTTGGGTCAGGGCTGCCTTATCCATGCACATGATCAAAATAAAGCATGGATCAGATATACATGAGTGGAAAGGAAATAAAAACAAACAGAGAGAAATGTTGTTTTTTTTATCTCATATTTAACTTAATATTATTCTCATAAAAATATTGCACCAAAGTAAATCACTTGAAGGTTTATTTTACAAAAAGAATAATTTATTTTGCGTTTTATCCACCGTTATCCTGTAATATGTAATTCACTAAAATGAATTAGTAGCATTGAATAAAGATGAGTTCAGGGAGGAGCATACTGATGACACAGATGTACGAATGCTGTAAGACTGATCGAGCAGGAATACGGTACTGTGTGAAAGTCTTCATCCACCAATCATTTCTTTATATTTTGCCAGAAACACATGCAAACATACATGTAAATACAGTATAGAAGGCAAAACTAGAGTTTGTAAAAATTCCTCTGAAAAAATAGCCCGCTCTAACTACCGAGGCCAAATATAATTTTGATTTGTCAAGTCCCACGGCGTTCCTAAGGAACGCGAAAGGTGACCGTCTGCGTATGCTACGTGCCGGGTTATGGATGAAATCCAGTAGAATGATCCTGTTGTAATACATGTTCCAGCCATGTACTCCAGCCCTAACCTTATCCCTAACCTTAACCTCAACTCTAAACTTTAATAGTGTTTTCCAAAGTGATTTAAGTAAAATGAATGTACATGTGTGGATTCATTCCAAATGGTTCTCATGTTTCCTCATTTTTTCCGATCTCGTAATCTAGGGATGTGTTGGGTGCCCGGAAGTGTAACATATTGACGATTTGTCACCTAGCGTAAAATGTTATGCTTTGGGAGTGAGAATGTGTTGTGAAAAAATAGCACTTCAGTCTGGCTCCTTGGAAACAAAATCTGAAGAAATAAGGGGTAAATCGAGACCTTTGCACAGCACTGTATATTAATATCCTCTACTGTGTGTGTGTGCCTGCAGTGCAGAAAGCCACATCTCTCTTCATAGCTAACACAATGGACTACTTGCACTAGGTAGTCCATTGCACCCATGAAACACATCACATACAGTCATTACTGACTATATGTTGTTTGGGTTTTTTTTTTGTGGGACACTTCATGTGTCGCACTTGACGTGCTGTCGCTGAGGTAAAAAAGTGGGACATATGGTTGCGATATACAACCTTATTTCCCTGACTGACAGTAGTGTGGTTTTCAGCACAAGCTGCATCACCAATGTCGCCTCCTTCAAAGAAGAAAAAGCGTCAGAACTTTTTTCTAAGATTAAATTTCACTCATGGGAGCTTTTGTTCAGAGAAATTTCCACCAGGATCAGGATCTGTAGCGACTGCTGCAGCTGGATGTTTAGTAAAAGTTTGGAACAGACGACCATACCAAAACCAGAGCAGATCCAAACATTACAGTCAGTCAGGATGGCTGCGAGTGGAGGTAAACTAGACAAGTGAGATATACCCTTGCAAATATCAGTTTCCTTTAAACTACAGGTATGTAACCTGAATGCTGTTGAAACTCTTTCAAAGTCCGATATTTTACACTTTCATCACTGAATGTGTCATTAAACAGAAGGCGATGGTTGCTTTGTTCTTGGACCCACTGGTGTGGACCACCACGTGCAGAATACCACACAAAAATAAACAAATGATCCGGGCATCCATTTAAATTTATTACACTGTGAGAGACAAACTCACTGGCTTTTGCAAACTGATCCACCTTCATTTCGTTCATGCAGACTTCAGTCTGACTGAACTGTGACAGGTGAAATCATGAGGCTCTACTAAAGGGGTCAGATGTCATCCAAGAAACATATTTCAAAGTTCAAGGCTCAATTTATCCCTCTGTAAAAATCACAGAAATTATGCCCATTTATGCTGGCTGCCGTACTCGCAGCCATTTCCCACCTGCTCCTTGCCACAGCACACACCAAAATTTCGTCTGGCAAAATCCAGTCTCAACATTATTTTTAACTCATGCAGCAATTCTGCTTTCCCACTGTGGAACATTTTTCATGCCTTAACCGTGTGAAATACAGTAAATGTTCAAGACTGTAGCAGGACAATAGTGTCCCAGAATTTAAGAGCATTTTACAAACCGTCACTCCTGGCTCGCCTCTGTCTCCTCTGGCTCCTCGTATGCCTGGACCACCCTGAAACAAACACCAGAGACACACGGTAATAACAGAAATAAGAAAAAAACATGGGCTGTAAGACTGTAAATGTATCAAGACTTCCACTAAAACATGGAAACTGGGGTTTATGTTTAAAAATATGCTAAACGTAGAACGCCACGTGTCTTTCATATGAATGGATTGTGAGGCTCATGGAGAGAAGCCAGCGCTGATCATAATGCTGTAAACTGCTCCTGTGAGCTCTACACTTTATTACGCTGCATCTGTGACTAACAGCGAGAATCTAAAGCCATAAACCTCGGGCTGACCCTTCTCGAGGTTTATCCAGGGACAGGCAACACACATCTGCTAATCATTGGCCCATTTGGGATATATCCCCTTCCTGTGTTTTCTTAACTAGGTCTGCCTTGGGAAGCTGGGGGCAACTAGGTAGTTCCTGAAGTATTTAACCAGACGAGACAAGGGTGGGAGGAATATGAGAAGAGACATACAGATGTGGTAAAAACAAGAGGTCATTTTCTTTTCGATAATTTCTATCAATTGGAAGTCAACACCAATCAGTTTGCTTTAATTGGTAGACGTAGGATATATTGTCTCTTTTAGATGTAGTCAGTGCTCTCTGCAGGGATTCCTTATGTGTGTGCTGGTCTTGGATTATGTACTTAAACGTAAAGTGACAGAAACAGGCTCAATTAGTTAACAAAACCATAATCAAAGTTTAATAAAGGCGAATGTAACAGCAGACCAAGTTAACCAAATCAAAAGGGTTTTTTCCAGTGTGTTTTTAGTTTTCGTTGTGGAGGAATACTCGTTGTTAGACAGCCAAAGGTTTGCTCCTGGGCCACAACTCTATTATCAAAAAAACCTACAGATGGCAGCCAATATCCCAACACGAAGCTTTGAATTGGCACATTCATTTTGTCAGGTAGGACAGGAATGATGACAATGACCAATGACCCCTAGAATTATTTTGAAATACTTTGAATCAATGGTGAAATGGGCCTATGACGACTGTGTCTTTGTAAAATCACATCAGGGGAAAAGTAGTACTTAAAATGACTGGGCCTGTTCATCAGTTCAAAAATGTATTTCTGTTGTTTTAATGGATTCTTCTAAACAATCAGAGCACTTGCTGGAGGCACGGAAAAACCTGCAGAGAAACTGAAATGAGCTTCCAACAGTAACAGCACATGTAATTACATTTGGATTTTTCCACGAGACTTTAATGAATGTGGAAAAAACGGGGCAATTATTGTTCAACTTAGCAATTTTATGCCGAAGGGAAATTTACATTTTTTAAATAATGCTTGGATCTCAAACAGCATGGGCACTATTCATTTTGAACAAACAGACATGGCAGGTTGAGCATGTCTTGCTTTCCTTATTTTAGATTGATTGTTGACTGACGTTCAGCGTTAAGTTGAGTCTGTGCCAAATCAGACGGCACAGATTGCAGTTCAGCTCAGCCAATCAATAGTATTTGAAATGCTGAAATGTGAAGAGGTCTGCTGCTGCGTGAGGCAGGAAAAGACGTACATCTGGCAGTGAATGCAAACATAAAAATTACTCTGAGGAAGAAAGGCTCAGCATTGTTGTGAGTGATTATGTCTGTAGTCTGCACACTGGAAAAATACAGCAGACAAAAGTGCATTTTCTGCTATTACAAAAACTTTCTTTCTGCTATTACAGTTTCTTATTTGGCTCCTTGTTTTTGTTTTCATGACATTACTGAAATTACCCATTTAATATTTTTCTACAATTATCCCAGTGTGCAAAATATTCAACTTCTAGGTGACCACTTTTAATAGCTAGCTGATTGCAATGGTTACTTGATGGTAGGCAACCTGTTTCTAATGACTGTGGTCCAACTTGGACTTATTATAGTCACTCTCAGACAGATTAGCAAAGTCTTGCAAATAATTAGCATCTAATTTATAAACACAGACTGATACAATCAGGGGTGATCGTGGCTCAAGAGTTGGGTGTTCGTCTTGTAATCGGAAGGTTGCCGGTTCGAGCCCCGGCTTGGACAGTCTCGGTCGTTGTGTCCTTGGGCAAGACACTTCACCCGTTGCCTACTGGTGGTGGTCAGTGTCCGGCAGCCTCGCCTCTGTCAGTGCGCCCCAGGGCGGCTGTGGCTACACTGTAGCTTGCCATCACCAGTGGGTGGATGATTGTGTATAGCTTTGGGGTCCTTAGGACCCAGTAAAGCGCTTTACAAATACAGACTATTTACCATTTACAATCTACAGACTCACTTGAAATCAATCTAAGTAAGTCTGCCAGGATATGCAACATCTCTGCAAGATGTCTAACTGCAAGAGAAGATTCGACTGGACTGGTTACCCACTGCCTGTATTCTGGTTATAGCCCCAGTACAGTTGTGGTCAGAAGTTTACATCCACTCATTGTTGAGGATGAATGTCACAGTAATTTTAGTTTTTTAAGGAACTGTTCTTTTTACAGGGTGGAATGCACAGCATACATCTTTAATGAAATGCAATGAAATCACCATCCTGCAGCAACTACGTCACTATTTGAGGAGGAATTTCGGAACTTCTATTTCAAGTGTAAGAGGCTGTGGCTGGACTCTGAATGTAAGTAGTTACAGTGTTAATAATATGTTTAATGTAAATGTATGTGTATGTAGATGGCAACAGATTTACGATGTTCACCAATTTAGACTAAATGTAACTGCCTACTTGATCCCATTTAATCACAAACTGATGGCTGACAAACGCCATCTTACCACCTTTTTATTGCCATCTTTGTACCAAAGTCCCGTTTGGTGCCCACTTGCTTTAGTAAGAAGCAACCGAGTGCCAGTGATTGCAGACCTGTTTCCCATCTTTAATGCAACCATTTCAAATGCAACTAGATTGCAAGTTCATTTCACACAGTTGCATTAATTTTAGTTGAACTGTAATCTTCAACTACTGTTTCCCCCAATGTGACTGTAGTATTAGACGCTGTATCAGGTATCCATCTACCTGATACATGTTTATTTTACAGCTTTATTTGATTGATCTTAACCCCCCCCCCCCCACCACCACCTTATTTTTGAGAGAACAAAGTGTTAGCACTGCAACAACAGAAGAGTAAATCTGTTTTCACATACACGTGAACCGACCGTTATATCGTTTTTAACAAGGGGAGTTGTGATAATTTTTCATCCTTTCTCTAAATCCCAGTGACTACAGTGTGCAGTTTTAGCACAAAAGCAGCTATGATTTCGCCATCACACCATTCATCTATTCCCATATCCTGCAGTTAAAATGTGATTTAAGAAGCCCATTGAATGTGGGCGAGAGTAACAGACACAGACAGAGCGACAGAAACAGTTACAGAGAGGCATAAAACGACAATAAAACGAGAGAAAGAGCCCCAAGCAGGAGGAGGAGGTAAAATAAATAAAACAGAGAAAAACAATGAAAAGTGAGAAGCTAAGGTATTTTCTATGCTATATTAATCTCTGGAAAACAGAAGAAGCAACAGAGACTGTATATAGAAAACATGAAAGAAACACAGAGAACAATATGTAATCCTAAATATTACATGAGAAATTTCAATTCTTTGGTAGTTTCCCTATAAAATGTGAACATTTTATACAACATAGAGCTTTCCTCTGTTATAGAACTGGAGGTTTAACAAATCCAGAGGGAGAGAGCTGTGACCTGTGGATATAACCCTACCAATGAGAAAGCAGATCTGGCTCGTTGGACAAGGAAAAAAAACATAGGGGGGGATTTTACTTGGCTGTGATAAATGGAGTCGCCCAATAATTACTTTCTCAAACTATACCAGTGTGGATCTACACCCCTCTCCTGCTCCGCTACCCAAAGGTGCCGACAAAGACAAAGAGAGAGAACTTAAGGAGCGATAGCGCAAATGAAAGTGGTGAAGAGAGAAAAAGAAGAATTTAGACAAAAAGTCTCGGGCTGCAAATGAGCTCATTTAGTCGCTCTCATCTCCCGACCTCATTCTGGTACAATCTGCGATTGCGTGAGAGGAATACAACTGTTCGGCATGTACACCCCAACTCTGTCTAACATTCAGACACCCCAGAGAAAATGCCTCTAAGAAATGGAAAAGTGTCTTCAGGCATTAATTGATGAAAAGAAAAAAGACTTGTTATTGTGTATATGTCACAAAACACAGGGTAGACTCTAAAAGCACTTTTATCTACCCTTTGATATCATGTCCTTTTGTGTTGCTGGATATATTCACCCTGTTCCATCTAGAGTTTATTCACACTGTGATATATTACATATTTAGATGTCTTTTGCTCTGGTCTTTATGATTTTGTCATAAACTATAGTTAGACTAAGCTTCTGTATCTGAACTGTGAAGCAGGAGGTAACAAATTTGATTGCAAAAGTATGATTATGCAGAAATCAATTAACCTTTCCCTGGTAAATTTAAGGTCTCAGTCCCAAAATTAACATCTTGCTGAATAGAAGTTCTATGTGGAGTAAAATCGACAATAACTTTAAGACTGGTCTTGAGAAAAGCACTGACCGTAACTAAAATTAATTCAGTCAAAGTATGTTCACATTGAAAATGTTGGATTGACTTTGACATTACGAGCAGTGTCCACTAATGACCATCCAAACATTTTTTCTTTACTTCTGTAGAATTTTCTAGTTGATGAGAGTCTTGAGAGACTAGATGAAGCGAATGAGTAACTGATCTAAAGAAAGAGTTCAATTGAGTTTCTAACAACACAAAGAAGGATAAAAAGCACAGAGAGCAGAGGAAACCTTTAAAGGACTTCCACATCGGAGTGATTTGTTCATAAAAGGCAGAGTATGAGTGTTTAAGTAACTACATTAAAGAGTAAATGTGTATAAATATCGTCTTACAGGTGGTCCAGATGGTCCTGGAGGTCCTTTACTGTCCTGAGAGCAGGTACAGGCATGAGGCATGGGAGGGCACTGCTCTTCAACTCTCTGAAAAGACAGTTCACAGAATGTGTGTGCAGTCTCTTTGGTCAATATTCAGGTCAGGCTTGAGCTGCACTAAAAACACACATAAACAGGCTTAGACTTTGCCGGAAAAAAACAGATAACACTTGTAATACATGCTATCGTTGGCCAGTTTGTCTTAGGTGTTTGGATCCGTGTTAAATTTACAGCCCAGTAAAACTAATATTTTTCATATTCCACAAATCTCATATCATACTTTGGAGTTCTTTGGACAAACCAGCTAAAATTACATCTTTTTCTAACAGAAAAACATATCTTTCCTCTTAAAAAAGTCAAAAACAATGTATTTTCAGTTTAAATGCAGCATAAACTCTTTTCTTTATTATTGCTACACAACTGCATAATTATTTACAAACTGTAAATGCAAACAATGTCCTTACAAAGTGCATTTAAATAAAGTTATTTTCAAAAATATGCTTCAATACGACGGAGTAATCAATACTTTTTGCATGCCTACTTTTTCATTGAGTAATCTGTACTTTTGAATGTGTATGTAATGAGTATGGAGCATATTTGAAAATGCAAACACTCAAAAAAATCAGTAAAAAAAAAAAATCATGAATTTAGTAGTCTTGGGATTTTCATTTCATTCTTCTTGTGTATAGAGGAGCCCGCTTACATAAGGACATTACGTTCGCTAAACCATACCTGTCTTTAAAAATACAAAATAAGCTCAAAGCCCCAGCACACATTTTAATTGCCAGCTAACCACTAGCACTGAAGGCTACATGACCCATGTGAAGACCCGAATTCTGAACCCCTGCCGACAGACTCCGACTTACTCAAGGGCTCTGCTAAAAACAGGCCTTTGTTGCAAGGTAGTTACTAGGCAACACGGTGATATCATAATATCTACTTACCTGCCAAGTTTGGCTGCTCAACTCCTGATCATGTAGGGGGAGTTGGCAGCCAAAGAAACACATTGTGTGCATTACAGTAAGAGTTGACTTTTTTGTGTTAGCTGTGCAACTTAGCTTAAAAACATCACACTGAAAATAAACAAGTCAATGCAGTTCATCGCCTTGAATTTATTTAATTTTTGAATTTATTTCATTTTTCAGACATTGCGAGTTTCCGCACTCATGACAGTAACTGCCATGCATTTTATTACCCAGTGATGTGTTGATAACACTCAGGCCTCAGAGAAATTGGTTAGTACGTTGAGACATTGCATTTTGAACCCTATTGTACAGGTGTGCAATTAATAAGGATCTTAGTGTTTGCTCAGTGGATTACATTTTATGCCTGGGGCGTTAATTGATTGGTGCTACCATAAAGGCAGACACACACTTTTTGTGACTTTTTGTATATGCATAATACGCAACTGGTCTCATTAAGAGAATTTCTTTCACATTAAACTAAATTAATTGAATGAGCATTTTGGCTTTGATTGGAACCATACTTATCACTTTATTTATATGGAGTTTTAATATTCTGTGAATAATGCACAGAAGAAGAGAGATCAGGTACGTACCAAATTATCTCATAGAGTAGGTTTAAGTAGAGGGAGAAATGTTACTTACCAATGCTGGCAGCTCACAACACTTATCTCTGCTGGCCCAGGAAGTACTGCAGATAATGTCAAACATCTGGAGCTGGAACTGTAAACACATGTGCATGTATGAGTACATATGGATATACACATAACCTCTGCATTAATACTGCAGTTGCGATGTACATTAGGTAAATAAAATGCTGAATTAAAAGAAAAGTTGCATTAGAAACTGAATATTACCCAGGTTTTTTGTAATGCTGTGTTTCTGTGTTGATAAGAAGCAAGAAGACAGACAGCTTGGCTGCTTATGAGCTTTAATAACAAGCTGAAATGTGCTGGAAGACAGATATATGGAGTCTAGCTGATTGCTTTAATAAACAAACTGGATGTTCTCAATGATCCGCTAGTCTTGGCCTGGCTATAAATTATGTCCCTGGCTTATGTCTGATTCATTTCGAAATTTTAGCATCAAAACTTAAGAGGGGCTCTGCTCCCGTACACTATTTATTTTATTAGAAAAGCAGTGTTGACATTCCCAATACCTCAAACTTCGTCAACATTGTTTCCAGTGTAATGCATATACAATCAGAGACAACCTATATTTTCGGAAACCCCCTCTTAAACTTAAAAATAAATAAATAAAGCAGTTTCATCTAGGACACTGGACACCGAGTTCATGCTGAATATAGTAGAAAACTGTATTTCTTTACACTGTTGTATTATTCCTATAATCATCAGATTTACTTTGTCAATTATAATGATGGGATGCACATTTGTTTTCAGATCCGCTCATAAAAGTCTCAAGGTCATTAAACAAAAATCAGTTAAATTACATTTAATTTAAAAGATACCCAACACCCTTATTTACATAATATCATCAGAAGATAAATAATACCATATGCAGTTCAATTTATTGGGAAAATGTATGACAGTAAGTAAAAACTTGGCTCAGAGGTTTTTCATTCCTAAAGACAGGAGCGCTCCCCTGCTGCTGATGTGGCACAGCTTGTAATTATATATGTAGTGCTTCTATTGCAGCACCGCAGGGGGTCTTGGAATTTAAGAGCCTGTGTTCTTACAGTAAAGCTGGAACTAATGTTAAGACCAAAAGATACGGACTTGCTGTGAATCGTTTGGGGGTTTGACCCATTTTCATTTCATAATTTGAGCTCACTGACAAATGCTACATGTCTCTTTATACCCTCACCACAGCCTTTATTAGGTCCACCTGTTCAAGTGCTCGTTAAAGCAAATATCTAATCAAATGCATGGCAGTAACTCCATGCATTTAGGGATGTAGATATGGTTAAGATGACCTGCTGAAGTTCAAGTGGTGCATTTGAATAGGAAAAAAGGGTGATTTAAGTGACTTTGAATGTGGCCTGGTTGTTGGTGCCAGATAGGCTGGTCCGAGTATTTTGCAGGCTGCTGATTTAGTATGTTCCAGCATAACCATCCCTAAGGTTTACACAGAATGGTCCAAAATAGAAAAAAACATCCAGTGAGTGTGTATCTGAGTAAAAAGTACCTCGTTGATGCCAGAGGTTAGAGGAGAACAGCTGGACTACTTTAAGCTGATAGGAAGGCAACAGTAACTCGAATAACCCCTCGTTACAACCAGTTTAAGGAAGAGCTTAGATTGGTAAAGCTCTGAAGGTAAAGCGAGTCAAATCTGCATGTCAGATGGGGGACAGCAGCAGAAGACCGCACCACACGTCACTCTTGTCAGCTAAGAACAGGAAACTGAGGCTACAGTTATCACTAGTTCACTAAAATGGGAATATTGGAAAAACATTAGCTAGTCAGATGAGTCTCAATTTCTAAGGGATATTTTTTGACACACTTTGGGCCCTTTAGTACAAACAGGGCATCATTTACATGACCACAGCCTACCTAGTAATACTCGGCTGGCCTCCACAGTCACTACATCATTCACATCACGGATGTGCAGCTGACATATCTGAAATCACTTTGCGAAGCTGTCATGTAAACATGGACCAGTATTTGTGAGGAATATTTCCAGCGCCTTGTTGAATCTGTACCAAAAAGAATTAAGGCAACTCTGATGACAAATCGGGGTTGAAACGGTTGCTAACAAGGTGTAACTAATGAAGCACCCAGTGAGCGTACGATTTTATTCTGTTACACTTGTACTCCTTTAAATCAACTAAACACAAAGTTAATTATGAACACGAACATGTTTACGATTGTTTCCAGTTCAATTCGTTGCCACTTAAAACATAGAATTGTTAGACTACATTGATTCTTCTGTACAACAAGTTCCATTTTCACATGCTTTTTGCAAATACTGTTGGCAAGCCAGTAGACATTTTTTAAATAAATAGCCATTTTCTTCACTGGCAGTGGAGAACAATCTGTTAGGTAGAGAAAATATAATTAAAGAGCATTTATCAGCTAATATTTTTCTTTGGAAAAGCTCAGTAGTATACATTTACTACTGGGCTTTTGGAAATACTTAGTATTTCCAAACGCCCAGGTTATCTTACCTTCATCCCTCACTGTGTCTGCCAAAAGCTCTTTTTTTTTGAGTGCCTGTGCTATTTAATGGGTAGAGAACAGCTAACACAGAATATATAAAGCACTTTGTGCATTTCCACTTGCAATAAATAAAATGAACTCCTACTGAGTGACTTAATGAAATGGTTGTGAATATTTATGGCTGCCACTTAACAGGCCATAATTATGCACACACACATGCACACGCACACACACACTTACTCAGGTGCCTGGTCATTTCTGGTAATTTGAAACAGATTGTAAAATAACTCTAGCAAGAAGCAACTTTACCTTTGCCTGCTCATTTTTCAAGTCATCCTATCGGATGCTGTCTTGAAACAAAGCCTACATCTGCATTTGTTAATACACGTTGTAGTCAATGCTTCCTTTTTACATTGATCCAAACAAGTATTCATACTAACCGGAGCAGAGCTGTCTTGTCTACCTCTGGATCGAACCGTCCTTCCGAGGACCTCCATTCCATCGGTGGTGATGTTACCAGCTGCATTAATGTATTTCTCCCCAACCACTGAGCAATCCAGTACCACCTTCACAGACGTCTTGCTGATGGTTACATGGAGCTGAATGGGCAAAAAGATAATTGGTTGCATTAGAAATGCTTTGGCGGCGTGTCTGAAATCACTCACACCACACTATATGGAGCACTACATAGAGTTTACCATTTTGCAGGGCTGCCCAAACACACAAATAGCTACACAGACGTCAAATGGAGCTGCTGATTTTAAGTGCAGCACTGTCACAGGTAATGATCAGCCAGAGTAGAAAACATCTGACTCCCTTGAGTGTGAATGTTCCAGAAGAGTGCATCAACAATCTGCAATCTTTTTACTTACTAATCAGTCACAATGAGTTCTTTTGTGTATGTATTTTCTAATAAAACCAGTCTAAAAGCATCCATGCACTTAAATTACCCTGTATGAGCTGAGTGTCGGATGCCTGTGAGCTAAAACTGCCTCCTTAGAGGAAACCTCTGCCAGAGCCATGAACCGTGAAATTCAACTGGTCACACAGTTAATGAGCAAAGAGGGCAGCATCATGCTGAAGGACAGGAATAAACTAGACTATTAGTGTCCGCATTATTCACAATTACGTGAACTACTTTGCTCTTTCACATTACTTAAGCCAGTTTTAAGCCACGGGACTACAAATGCATGTGTCCACGTCTAAATGCATGCACAAAGCCACACAAACAAGCTACAGCTAATGTGGAGGTTTAACAAAGTTCATATTCAAGTGTCAGAGACCATTCATCAGCTGACGCGTACGCGCCCGCTTTACTGTAGAACGACTTTCTGTTCTCATCCTCTGTTCTGCACACTTCACTGGGCATGAAGGGTGTGTGAGTGCTACACTTTTATGATATAAAAGATGATGAAATCCTCTAAGGTGCAGACATTTTGCCGACATTCTGTGGCATTTAGTGGTTTCAGTTCAGGTTAACATTGGTGTTTAGGGAATGAATGAAGGCCAGTGTGTGTTTGTGTGTGCAGAAAAGATGTCAGTCACTCACCTTCTGGGTGGCTGGATTTCCTAAAGCAATGACTGATTTTCAGGCTAAAGACTGATACACTCTTCCCTTCTTAACAGCGGATTCCGTGAAATCGGAATAATCGGGTTGACAGTTGCAGGAAGCAGATATTCGCTGTTTACTTGTCATTCACTGTATTTTGCACTCATGATAAACAGACAAATGTGTTTTTAACTATTTAAGAGTTTCTTTTTATAGTTTGCTTGCAGCCTAAGCACTTTTGACCAAGCACATTTAAAAAGCATTTGGTTAGGGAACACATTTGTGGAATAACAATCTTGAAATAATCGGCTATCTTGTAGTGCTGATTTAGCATTTTTAATATCTTTTTTGATTATATATGTTTTTGTACCCATGAATGGTGGATGCAACAAAAAGTCTCGGCACGGTGGTTAGCACTGCTGCCGCACAGCAAGAAGGTCCTGAGTTCAATTCCACCATCAGGCCGGGGTCTTTCTGTGTGGAGTTTGCATGTTCTCCCCGTGTTTGCGTGGGTTCTCTCCGGGTACTCCGGCTTCCTCCCACCATCCAAAGACATGCAGCTCGTGGGGATAGGTCAATCCAAATTGCCACTAGGTGTGAATGTGCGAGTGAGTGTGAATGGTTGTCTGTCCCTGTGTGTTAGCCCTGCGACAGACTGGCGACCTGTCCAGGGTGTACCCTGCCTCTCGCCCTATGACAGCTGGGATAGGCTCCAGCCCCCCCCGCGACCCTGAAAAGGAGAAGCGGAAGCGAATGGATGGATGGATATTAAATTTCTTTTATTGCTTTCCTCATTGTTTGATGACTCATTAAAAAACAATCTCTGAACTAAAATAAAGCCCCTCTCCATGTGTAATGCACTCATCACCAATTACTTAGCTGCTCTTGTCCTATGACAGCTGGGATAGGCTCGAGCCCCCACAACGCTGAAATGGATAAGCAATTAAGCAAATGGATGAATCAGTGTCTAAAGCCACTGAATTCACTAACATTTCATAGTCCCAGGTTGCCAAATTGCTGCCAGTATCTTCCAGTATCTATACCCTAAGACATGGACCGGACTTGTGAAACTCTATTTTCTGTCAGTGTAAAGATGTTTAACTACACATTTGACATATCTTAATGTAAGAAAAAGAAGTGCAATTTAAATAATACATCTCTGCTGTGGTAAATGAAAGAAATCTGTCAGTGCAGCTCTTTGGACTTAAATTTAAAGAAATAAAAGTGTAAAATTACAGAAAGTAGCTCAATGGTCAGACTGTCCTGTAATTATAATTGACAGAAAATATCATTTTATTAGAACATGCAGGAACTTTTCTGTCATGTCTTAGTTGATTACTTTGGTGCAGTATGAAGGGCCAATGCTGGAGGTCTTTATTTATTTTAAAGCCATAAAATGAAATCTTTATAATGCTTTCTAAAATGTTTTATATTGCTATAAAATGTAAAAATACAGTTAATATTTTCCAAAGCCATCCTATGGGACCGATTGGTGAATTTGCAAGGCCAATTCAGGACCCCAAACCTTATGCTTGACACCATTGTCCTACAACGTGCATATGAAAGTATCATGACTGGCTAGAAGTTAAACATGCACAGTTATTTGTGAACAATCAGCACATGCAGCTCATATTTATTTTCATCCGTAGCTCATATTCTCATAGCTTATATCTTACTTTTGCACTGAAGCTCCCCAGTAGTTTTAATAGTTTTGTTCTCACCCTGTTGATTATGTGATGACTTTCCACAGAGATTCATCTCAAAGAGCTGCACTTGATCTCACATCATAGTTAGGTAAAATCAACTACATCCTCTAATATACCAGCAAAGACCACCCATTGTCACTGGCCTTGTGGCATCCCATAGAGAAGGACCCAGTAAAGACCACACACAGAATTAAAAAGATGACAAATGAGTGACTTTAAAACTACCTTCAACATTACGAGAGTCCTTTGTGTTTGTATTTGTCCATTCGAGACACACGCATACACCTAACAAGAGAGATTCTCAAAGACTTGGAATTATAACTTATCAGTGCGGAATAAGAAAATAAAGTAAAACAAAAGCCATGGCAACAATAACTGAGTATGGAATTTAAGACATATAACTAGCATAATGCTTTTTGCATTGAGCTGTACCTTGCAGGTCAGATGGCTGGCTGGAGCCGTTCACAGCCAATACTGCTGCCATAACAAGATAAATTACTCTGTTGGTGTCTCCCTCTCGTTCTCCTTCACACACACACACAGACACACACACGCTGCTATTTTCTGCTGTCTTAAACATCAGCTGCATGTGTAATATAAAGTACCTCATTTGTTTGTATCTCCTGTCAACAGATAGTTTATTTCACTTTAACTTGTTTTGCTTTATTTTTCAGGTTCAATAAATAAATACATTTGTGACTGTGTGACTGACAGCGCTACGTTATGACTTGGTTGATAAGGAGTCTCACAAATTGAACTCAAAAGTACTTTGATATCAGAAAAACAAAAACATAACACAGAGCTATCACTATTATAATGGCTCTATATGAATGTCAAAATAAAGTAAAATATGTAGACATTATTATCTTTGGGATTCAACTATGCAGCTGCACCAGGCACGTGTGTGGGGGGTGGGGGGGTGCCTGTACCCCTCAACAGTAACATTTAACTACAAATCACAATTTTGCTAAATAAAAGGATCTGGCTTGCACATGACTACCATTAACAAATGCTCGCTCTTGACGGCAGAGCGTGCTGGTTACGAGCTGGGAACGAGCTCGCAGAGCGCCCAGATTTTTTGCCACCTGGGCGGTGCGGAGCTGTGGGGAAACACAAATTCATTGGGAAACCAGTAAATAGGATGTACAGCTCACGCTATAGTCTATAGCACACAGGAGTATTAGGTTTTTACATACACGTTAAGTTGTCTTGTGGCAACTGACGAATTGAAACAAAATGAGCGTGCTGTGTGTGCAACAGCGCGATAAAACATTACCTGTCCTTTTATTAACTGCACAAGTAGTGGTGTCATTAGCCGCTAGCTAACTGGGTAAGGGTGTCATGGATCTGTAGCTCTGTCCACCTTTTTAGGGAACATATTTAATTTTAAAGTAAGTTACAGGGCTTATATTTCATTAAAAACTATCTAATATGCATATCCACATAATTATAGATGATTATAATTATGATATTTAAAAAACACACTGTTTTAAAAAAGTTACATTAAGAAACAGATATATTAGATTAATATTTCAAATATGACAAAATACTGATTTTACAGCAGCAGAATTATTGTATCTCTACAGTTTAAACATTTAATAAGCTTTCTGCCTGCACAGAGTGGATAGTGAAACAAAATCCTCACAAATACATTATTTTATATTTATTCCTTTATTTTTTATTCTTATTATTTTATTATTATAGTACTAGGAATAAATAATAAGGGAAGGATTCTGGATCAGCAACGTGATGAAAACTTGTGGCCATAGTACACAGTATTCTGGAGAAAGTCTAAAATGTCACTGTATGTGCATGTGTGTGTGTGTATAGATTTTTTTAGATTATTCCTCATGATATAACATTGTCCGGACATGCCCTGTAAGGACAGGAGCAGGAAACAGTGACAGAATGAGCTGTGTGAGGCTGATAAAGGCAGTGGATCCTTCAGCAGCTGGATTACAAAGAGCACTGGTAACATTAACACATGTACCAGTTGTTGCATTGCAGAGAACAATAATAAACACAATTGTTTTGGCTCTATAACATTTTTCTATCGTTACTTTATTATGGATTAGGTGTTGTTAAGTGTGGAAAATTAAATAATAGATTAATGCAACAGGAAATTGTGCCTTGTTCTCTGATGGACAGGAAGTGGAGAGATAGATGAGATGAGGAGATGGAAGGAGGAAGAGAGCAGAGTTTATTTCCCACATTTTTTTTTTAAATTTGTTGCTTTATGGTTCCATGTGTTATTGTCTCATAACACCTGTTTAATCAGAGACCATCTCTCCTATGGACTTTAAATGTCTACAGTCTCAGATCAACACAGCCCTGCCCTCCAGCA